TGTGTAAACAAATTTGTTTAAAATTAATTTTTAATATTTCTTATATTATTTACAGTTATACAACAAGTTATTAGTAAATATTAACAATAAAAACCAAATTCTAAGAAATTGTGTCATTATATACATAATTGTTTTTCTAATTGAAAATAAAAAACAGTCAAAATGACTGCCTTGGGCAATCTAGTGTTAAGAAAGAAGCAATATAGAAGAAAATATATGAAATCTACTCACAACGGCACAAGAGATACGACCTCCTACTCTAGATCGCCATGCTCTATATACTTTATGTCTGGTTGCTCCTGTCGCAAAACAACCAACGCATAAAATCATAAAACCTAAAGCAGCCATGCTAGCTCCAATAATAGTAAAAACCAATTGTAAGGCTTCCAACCAGCCAAGTCTTATATGAAATACCTTTACAACAAATTATGAAGAATAAATATTAATACTACTTTATAAAAATCTCGATATTAATAAGATATATACCTGATTCATCATATAAGAGCATATCGTAACCCCTTTGTGCATGGTGCCACAAAATATGCCAACTCCCAAGCAACACATAATGGTCGCTATAATAGTTGCATAAGGTACTCTGGCCATGCAGTCGTTGCACGTGTTCCCTAAAATAAAATGACATTTATCTTTATGTACTTGACAAATTATTGCGATTGTATTATTGATTGAGACCAATATCGTTTAATAAAATTGTACAAACAGAAAACTTACAACAAGATTTATTATCTAAATAAGTTCCATGTAGGCTACGTTCTGAAAATCTGCCTATACTTATATCGCTTTGAAAATTTCTACGTAAAGGTAAAAACTCAATGGTTTCGTTTATCCTGCCTTCTGACATGATCGAAAAATAACCTAATACAATGTTATACTATAACTATGCAATGATGACTGATCAATGAGTCAATCAATCTTACGCCTTACTCATATAGATAAGATTAGAAGGAAGCACGTTGCACTGAGTTTGAAACCTTATCATTTCAATATAACGAAGCCATTCAAACTGAATGAATATTGACAAAATACAATTTTTATCAAAATTTCAATAAAATATATTACTAAAGCACTTACCCATGTTAAATTGCAATCTAAGGAGGTTAGGATCGTTCTTATTTCCAAGATTAAAAGCTGAGAACCTTAATCGAGACTTCAATAAAATGATGCACGCCTGTTTTAGTTAATGACATCCCACTCGAGCTCCTAATTGACTTTTGACACGTCACATATCTTATTTACTTCATCAAGTCAATTTAGAATTCTGATAGATCGTCGTCTTTCGTCTCGATCTTTGGCAACCACCTGTATACTAATAATCATATTTTTCTCTATTTTATATCAAAACTATACAAGATGAGTAATAAATAAATTCACAAATTCGAGTTTTACAATTTTTTTTTTTTAACGCAGATTTGATTTTGTTAAATAACAAAATATTGTAATACTTACAAAATGAAATATGACCTCCTCTAGCAATATGGCGGCTATAAAATCCAGCAGCAGGATCAATTAAAATAAATTAAAGTGTACATAGAGTAGTAGGGAATTAAATGAATTAATTATTAATAATTATGATCTACTATGATTATATGTCTACTATGATCTTTCCTTATTAGAAATTATATTTCATTGTTTTGATTTAATCATTGTTTCGATTCTATTCAGTTTCTATAAATTTTTATTATTCTTTTATATTTTTTGAATATTTATACATATATATATTATTGGCACGAGTAATGAAAATGAGTCTATGAAATAATTCATAAATAATTTAGTATAACTAAATTAAATCTACGAAGAAACTTGTTAATAATTCACAAATGTTTGAAAAAAGAAGTTCGTCAATGATAATTGACGAGTCTTCGAGCTAATTTGTCAATGATTAATAACGAGTCTTCCAACTAATTTGTCAATGATATAAAATATTTCGAAGAATTTTAATCATTGATGAATTATTTTGCATAGAATCTTTTATTCATTTTACTTATCTCGTTTCATAATAATCTTATCAAGAATAAAAACAAGCAACTTATTGCGAGAAAATATAAATTTTCAGAAAGAATGTGTGTGTATATATATACATATACATAATATGTATTGAAATAAAGTTCAAAAAGATGAATTAAACTAAACTATCTTTCTTTTACGATGTGTTCAATAATATTCATTTGCACACATCATGCGACTAATTGTATGATATAATTTTATTATGTAATATATAAAAGAGATTATACTACAATATCTTAAATTTAAAAATAAAATATATTCTAATATATAAGAGTACAAAAAATATAGTGACATCCCTTTATCTTTTCGCTATCCTTTTTTTTTTTTTTATCCAATTAACTTAAAATTACTATACAGATATTATATCTATTCTATTTTTTCTTCTCTCTTATATATAAATATATATATATATATATGTATGTATATATTAAAAATCTATAACTATCTTATATTTTTATGCTTTTTTTGCGCAAGATGTCTGAGAACCGTTTCAACGTGTTTTAATTTTTCTTTTATCATATATGGTACTTCCAAATTTTGTTGACATTTTAGACTATATTTAAATATCTTACCATTACTTGTTTCATACCTAATACCACCACCGCAATTTTGTGTTATTACCTATAATCATATTTAAAAGAAATCATTCAAAGAAACAATGATAAATAATAAAATAATGTAACAATTGATTTGTAATAAAGAATTATTTACAGTCAATGAAGATCCATCTTTGTAATCTATTTTAATATCTCCTGATGGTAATTCCATAGCAATACCTATTCCTGGAACAGTTACTTTTTCTATGTCACAATTTGTACTATGAACAGAATTCATTTTTCTTGATCGTGATGTTATTGTTGACCCAACCGAATACATGGCATCAAAGGAAGGCATCTAAAAGTTTCAAATATCTATTTATAGACTAATTAAGAAGATGTTTTTTACATAATTGAGCTAGCATCAAAATATATTCACACTCACAATTGGTATACTATTAGTGGTATGAGAAACGTTCTCTTTGCCTTGCAAACAAGGTCTATCATTTAAGGCCGAACAAGGCCTACGTCCAATTATGATAGGAAAATTTGGATGACCTGTTGCCGATTCTAAAGATTGTAAAGCAGATTCTAATATCAAACAACGTTTGTAGCTGTTCGAGTAGTGTTCGTAAAATTCATCCAAATGTGTAGGAAATTCACCTTCGACATAAGTATTACCTCCTTCTGTAATCTTTACAGTTCCATTGACAAATGTAACCTATAATGTTAACAACAAAAGAAAATCTTTAAATACCAAACAAAAAGTTGACTATTAATGTATTTAATTATACGCAAACATTTTTATTTCACTTACTTTTACTCCATTATAAAAATGTACTTCGCAATCAGGATGTGGACCATTTTCCATAAACAAACACTTAGCATGTTGGGTATATAATGTAATTTTAGGAGTTTTACCTCTAACAAGTTGAACAAAACGAGAAGCATATATATATTTTTTATGATGACGCAATGGTAAATTTTCATAAGAATAAATACTATCGGCACCATGACTTGGTAATGGTGGAGGTTGGGAACCAATCTCTAAAGGAGATGACGGCTTATAAAGTATCACTCTTAAACCGTCACCTGAAATTCTGCATACTTCATCTATTTTTTCCTAGAAAAAAAAAAAAAAACAATTCTTCTTTAAAGAGATATACATATTACATCATAGACATATAGATATAATGAGTAGCAATAAATAAACGTACAACTCCATTTCTTCGTTTGATAAATTCAATGCAAACTTCACCATTTTCAAGGATAGTAAGTATTGCTGTTTTTGATTTATGTCTCGTCGGTTGCAGTCGTTCTGTACTCAAACGTGGTACTTGTAATTTGGCTACTTCTTCATTACCTTCGCCATTACATAAGTGTTCACTACTCTTTTTCTTTCGTCTTTGCTTTTCTACCACTTTCTGTCTTCTACTTTCACAACAAGATTCACAATCGCTGTGTTGAACATTCTGAGAAAGGATTCTGCTTGATTGGGGCGGCGACATATCATAAAATACAGAATCTATTTTAGGAAATTGATCCATCAACTGTCTTTTTTGTAATGAACGCATTTTCGTTATCGGTTCAGATGTAGCTTTACTTTTTGCACTGATTGCACTTGCACTGAAAGGTCCAAATCCACTAGACAGCATAGGGGTTGTACATAAACGTTCTTCCGAATGAGAACGTATCCTAGCTTGGCTATAGGAAGATAATGTTTTACCCACTCCGGAATCAATCATACATTCTCCTAATAATTCTCTAACTTGACCAACTTTGTCTTGTATATCCTATTTAAATAAAATATATTATTACATATACATATATATAATCATTATTTGTTGATATAAATAGAATAGACAATCCTTGACTAACACTTATATTAGATGTTTTATTCGTTTTCAAACTTGTTATAAATGGATGATGTGGAATGTCTTTTAAATTAATCCTTTCCTTAGGATTTTTTTTCAATAATTTATCTATAAGATCTTTAACATTGTTAGACAAATTGGTTGGCATGTCATAATCAGCCATTGCTACTCGTGTTAAAGTACTCTTTACAGCATCTGTATCGAATGGAGGCTTGCCTACTACAAGAGTATATAACATGCAGCCTAAACTCCAAACGTCAGCTGCCAAACCATGAGACGATCTAGTTGCAACCTACAAATAATTCAATTTATTTTTACAAATACATTCTATACATTAATAAATAATATATATATATATATATATAATTGATATATTTCCATTGAAATTACTTCTGGTGATATATAATTAGGTGTACCACACATGGTTAAATGTTTTTCATCCGGTCTTTTTAATTGCGTAGCTAATCCAAAATCAGCAATTTTCTACAAAATGTTTAATATAATATAGTTAAGTTAATAATAAGGAAAATAATCTTACTAACAAAAGTATTTCTATACATACCACTTGCATATTTTTAGTTAACAGCAAATTCGATAACGATATGTCTCTATGAAGTATTAAATGAGAATGTAGAAATAATAGACCTTGTACAACTTGTGCGATGATACTTCCAGCTTAAACAATAAACATAAATTATAAATAAGAAATGTTGAACGCATTTAAAATACTGCCATGAAATATATATATGATGCTCCTCCAATTTTTCTAATGTCCCTCATTAAGTCCTATTTACCTTCTTGCTCGGACAACGTATGAGTCTTTTGCTTTTTTAAATAATTTTGAAGTTCACCATTGTGACATAATTCTAAGATCATGTAAACATAATTATTATCCTCAAAGACTGTATATACTTCTAGAATAGCTGGATGTTTTAAACGAGAATGAATTGTTACTTCTTGAAAAACTCTGTCCAACATGCCAGCAGCTTGCATCGATTTCTTGTCAATCTATAAAACCAAAATGATAAGCACCTATTAATTATTGATAATAATATATTGATATTACTCCTCCTATGCGTGTCTAATGAAAATCACACTTACCATTTTGATAGCAACTTCCATTCCATTGCATAAACATTTTGCTTTATAGACACTAGCGAAACCACCTTTTCCAAGTAAATTTAAAACTTCATAATCCTACAAATGAAAAGAAAACAAAGTAATCAAGCGTCAAGCATCTTTGTCGTTGCTATAATAAAAGTATAAACAAGAGAAAATTTGAAAAGCTAACCTCAATTTGTTCACCAAAACCACCCGGCATCTTTTGTAGTCCTGCATACAACAGGTCCACGTCGATTTTAATCTTTTTCTATTATTATGTATTTAGATTGTATAGAAAATATAAATGCAATATAAATCACTCGGCCAAAACTTGGAGTTAAAATTTGTAAACAATAAATCCATGATTCCCTATGATCAGTCGTTAACAACTGACACGACAACGGCGACCGAAGCGCCCTCTGGCGAATTTACTTCTTATCAAATTGAATACAACTTTGATGCACTGCGGACTACACGTAGACTCAAAATAAAATACAATATAAATAAGAAATAAAGTTTGAAATTAAATTTGGTTAGTATGTTCGCTATCGAAAATGAAAAGAAAATAAATAAATATATACTGTATAAATATATACACCGTTTGTACAAAATTACACAACGCGTATTATAATATAAATAAATGATTAATTTCAAATTTTATTTCACAATAGTAAATATATTTTTCTTGGCTAATGCAAAAAACGTTTTACACACATTAAGACCTAAAAAATGAAAATGAGATAATAATATATGCTGTAGTTATATAAATGAATAATATTCTTATTTTTTAACACATACATTAAGATCAGGCGAGAGATAAGATTTTCATTTCAGAGACAGAATGATGTTGGTTGGTAAAGCAGATGTCGATAAGAGGCATCATGCAAACTAATTGCCCTTATTATAATTATAATTATTATAATATATATTATAATAATTAATTAGTTTTGTTTTCATTTGTCTACTCTTATGTTACACTGTGACTCGTACAATCGCTGGTAACAGTTATATTTTCGCATACTTGAATGTCCTGTATTTGTAACTCGTCTATCAAAATTACGTGTAATTCATTGTTGTTATCCGTGTGTCAAGCAGATTGCAATTGGGATGGGGATGACAATTCGTAGAAATGAAAATTTAATTCCTCGCCGAATAAATTCTCTGGGGATATTATTTCTGATTCGACCATATTTAAACCTAAAGCCGTTGAACTCATATCAGTTACCAAAAAACCTTCACTTATTAATCCACATTCTTCGGCGACTACTTCCTTAGAAATTGGATTTAGAAAATCTAGAAAAAAAAGAAAAAAAAGAAAAAAAAGAAAAAAAGACGAATAATTAATAAATATTTAAAAAGAGAAAACAAAGTAAAAATATATGCACACACACCACTTTCTTTGACAGCACAATCAAAATTAGTTTTCGTTGTATTTTGTTGTTGTGTTCCCTGACTCGTTCCATTGGATACCATCATTGGTACCAAATATTGAACTTCAACCTCTTTTTTGATACCACTTAATATTTGCTCTGCACAATGTTCCAATGTTGTAGAATTGACAATATCATCGGTGTCTTCTTCGGTAGATTGACGTGTAATACTTGCAGTAGCAGCCTCTATTTCGTCTAATAAACCTATTTGACTGAAATGTGTAGATATTTTTGTAATATGCGTATTTCTCTTACACGTAATATTATTAATATTAATAAGTTATTTATACCTATTGTTAATATCATGTCGTCGAGAATTAGCATAATCAACATCCTTGTTAACCGATCGTGATGATGATTTAGTGGGATCAGTTGTAATAATTTGATGTGGTCTAGTATCACCACGATTAGCTATAGCCCACAAATGACCAGCTCCATGTGGGGCCTTTGATCCTTTTCGAAAATGTGGATTTATTGACAGATTATGTCTTACCGAATTTTTCCAACGATCATCATTACTTTTGTAATAAGGAAAATGTTCCCTAATAAATAAACAACAATATATCGTATCAATTTGTTATACAACATTAAATTATCGTTTGAAAATAATTTAGCTTCAATTACAAATCGAAAAAGTCTTGAAAAAAGGCAATTCATTTTTTGTCCCAACCCTCATAATTATAATATCTCATAATATAATAAAAATCTCCTTTATAATAAAAAAGAAAATAAAACCAAACAAATATATCTTATTTCATATTTGTCTCGAAAGAAATTCATGCGATCGAAGTCGTGAAAGTGTAGAAACGGTAAATCGTGTTTGCATTCATGTTAGAACCGCAATGCGAGTTAGGGTGAGGGTGAGGGTGAGGGTGAGGGTGAGGGTGAGGGTGAGGGTGAGGGTGAGGGTGAAAAGAGTTCGTACCAGGAGGTGCAAAGCAACAACTGGCTAGTGGTACCAATGGGTACCATCTAAGAACCCAGCGAACCTTCGTCAGCGCAACCCTCTCTCTCTCTCTCTCTCTCTCTCTCTCAACTGATCGACGTTATTTCGAACGTCCCCTAAATTCTCAGACTTTTTCCTTTTTTTATTTCTCCATTCAAATCGGAGAAAATAAATCGACGACCATAATCGTCCTATTTACATATCATTATTATTATTACTATTATTATTGAAATAATGAATCTAATTTTGACAGTTAATTTTTCTATGTTTTTAATAAAAAAAAAATGTGTTTACTTACGAAATCCATTGATAAATAGCTGATACAGTTAGTTCCCCTCTCTCTTGAAGCGCGTGTTCAATTAATTCGGTGTAAGTATACGGTGGCTTTTTCGGATAATTATTATTATTATTGGTAGATGAAAAATCTTGATTAATATCTGACGTTATGTAAGAGGATTTTTGATTAGAATTAATTGTATTATCTGGATTATTGTTATACACTTTTTTAGAATCTATCGTATAGATCATTGACCCATGACCACGATTATTTCCTTTATTTTTATTACCTAATAGAAAAGAAATGGTTATTTTATTTGTTTTTTTCTTATTATAATGAAATGATTGAGAATATGTATTATTTTCTAAGGACTCTCTTACCGCAGTAATTGTCTTTAAAATCATTCCCATTGTTATATTTGTCATCAGCTGCTTCGATGAAAGGATCTAATTTAAAATCCAACAACCATGAAAGATTACCATTCTCTTGATCGTCAAATTGATGATGTTGTTGATTATCGTTATTGCTCGTTATCGATTGTATCGAATGTTGAGATTTAATTTTGTTTGATAATGGTAAAATAGCCAAAGGATCGGATATAGGTTCCCATAAACCATAATTATCGTGACTGTCCTCAATCGTTCTTACGTCGGTATAAATGATGTCGGAAGAAGATTGTCCTTCCAAAGATATCGATGAGGACAATGATGACGATGAAGATGACGGTGAAGATATTGTTGTCGTGCAATTATTCAATTCTGTTCCATGTTCTATTACTCGTCGATTTTCTAAATCAGATACCGCAGTCCAAGAATAATTCGTACCATCTACTACGAGAACTTTTAAACGTGTAACCGAACGCTCATCTATATTATTATCTTCTGTTGAATTTGTCGACAATATTGTATTATTCTCATCTATTATTTCATTAGACATTATCAATTCGACCGGTGTCTCCAATTCTTGCAAGTAACGTTTCCGACCATTTTGCCATAATTCCTTGCAAAAACTATTTATATCTAAATCCTCGAATATCTTTCTTTTCGACGATCTACCTTGGCCATTGACGACTTCATGATTTGACACATTTGCACTGTTTGACGATGGTCCTATCATTTTCATCAATTTTTCTACGATTACTTTCAATTAAGACAGAGAACAAAATCTCACAATCGATCTTTTTAATATTATATTCAACGTCAATGTTTTCAATAGCGTATAATCGTTCAGATTATATTCAAAATGAATAAGTTTCAAATAAATCACTATAATTTCATACTAAATATTCGACGCGGGCAAACAAATCTTGAACGATAATTACATTATTTTAATTACATGTCAATCTCCATTTTGTATCGACTTAATCATCATAATACACACATTTACACGTAACACACACACAGGTGCAAGTTTATGTTTAATTGAAAAAGAAAAATGACTTCTTATTACTATTTCACTTCTCGTGTTAGACCTACCTAGCCTTTTGAATAAATATTTTCAACGTAATGTTGAAAAGTACAAGATTTGATAAGAACGATTAGAATATTTCAATATAATCTTTTCTATGAATTTAACGTTGGATCGTAAAATGAAATATAAGTGAAGATGATTGCAATTGAAAGCGCGACAGACGTTTGTTTTGTATTTCGATTGTTCCGCGGTACGAACTCTCTCGACTGCGCGTGCAATCCTTCCTCGATTAGAGTGTTAATGCGCATGTGCGAGAAGCAGGGAAATCTCTCTTGCGCATGTGCGAGAAGCAGGGAAATCTCTCTTGCGCATGTGCGAGAANTGCGCATGTGCGAGAAGCAGGGAAATCTCTCTTGCGCATGTGCGAGAAGCAGGGAAATCTCTCTTGCGCATGTGCGAGAAACAGGGAAATCTCTCTTGCGCATGTGCGAAAAGTAATAAAGTCTTTCTTGCGCATGTGCGAGAAGCGTGGGGAAAAGCACTGAAATCTCTCTTGCGCATGTGCAACATCGACTGATTGATACTGAGCATGCGCCAAAACTATGCACCAATTGCAACTCTTAAACCGCGAATAATCGTATTTACGAATCATTAAAAAATTGAGATATTTGATTACATTTTATTATTTATAATAAATGATATAGTAATTTCTGATCTAAATTATTTGATTTGATTATTGACAAGATAGAGATTTGGCTAAATTATAAACTTTATGAAAATGTTCAAGCCCCAGAAAATTGATAATCTTGTAGAAGCAAGATATTCGTGTATGACGGGATAAAATCATTAAGGAGCTACTCCGTTTCTATATGTACGATTAGTAAGCATACGAATTTACGCAATAGCAGTGATTCTTGACACAAGGAAAATTCCATTACTTTTCGCTTTACGAACAATATACACATAATACGCGCGCTCTATTGGTTAGTGTTATAAAAAGAAATAATCTTAAAAAATAATACTTTTCCGTTGGACTGTACAATGGTTGTGCATGTATATATATATATGTATATCTAAGAAGAGATCGTTTCTAATTCTGGAACGGAATGTACCACGAGTGCATGCACTTACATACAACGGAACGTCATAATCCTAAAGAATGACATTTAAAATTTGTAGTTAAATCCTTGTGAAGTAAAAACGTTAGGAAGTTTGTAGAAGAGGAAGATTCTATCGGCATAAAGATATTATTTTGCATGGATCTTTATATGAAAGAAGGGAAGACGATATGAACGTGGACAACGACGTGGATCAAAATTTGTTACATCAGTTTAGCTGTTTGGGTACTACAGATAAAGATGATTTAGTTAAACAGCTACAAAGATTACTTGCTGGTAGTCAATTAAATGAGGCCACTGCTACCTTTTTCTTGGATATGAATAATTGGTAATGTCGTTAATATGTACCATGTATCTTTAATCAAATTTAATGTTATATCTCGACATAACCTCTTAACACTGTGTTTACAATGTCAATGATATTGTTTTCTTTTTCATTTAGTTACAACTATCATTTTTATTTATTTATATTAATACAGTTGAACTTGATGGTTTAAAGAACTTTTAATTGTTTATTTGTTTGTTTTTGTTGCTTGTATTGAACGTTTAGATAGCATATAAAAAAATTCAAATAATTTTCAGTTGAAATTGTAATATATATTAATATAGTTCTTCTCTCTCTCTCTCTCTCTCTCTCTCTCTCTCTCTCTCTCTCTGTGTGTATGTTTATGTGTGTGTGTGTGTAATTATATTAATTTGAGGAAAATTCTTTGCTAGGAATCTACAAGCAGCTATATGTAGCTACTTTGATTTTGAATCACCGTTTAAGTTTCCTTGCATGACTTTGGTGTGCGATAGCACTATTGGTGAGGGTGAATCTGTTCCACCTAATACAAAGTTTCAAAAATCATGGCGAGTTCAAAATAGTGGTACTGAAGCTTGGCCCAATGGCATCTGTTTACAACATACAGCCGGAACACAAATGGGCGATTGTATACGAGTGCCAGTTCCATCCTTAGCTCCTAAAGAAACAGTAGAGTTAAGTGTTACTTTGACAAGTCCAGCAAATTTGGGTGTTTACCAAAGCAAATGGAGGATGATAACACCTACTGGCTCTTACTTTGGTGGTAAAGAAGAATATCTAATATTATATTGATATACATTTTTGATATACATTTAATATATACATATATTTATTGTCTTATATATTTTTCTAGATAATATATGGGTGATCATAACTGTTAGTGAATGTGGGACATTGGCAGTAACGCAACAGTTACACCAATTAAGTACTTCACAATCTAATGATGTTCAGATGTGGTAGCCTTTGATGGATACAAAATTGTCTATAAACATTTTTGCGACTTATCCTTCAGATTTTCAAAGCGTTCTGCTTCATTCATAGTTTTCTTCAAATCTTCTTTGTTTTATAACCTGTTTTCATTTACCTATGATACTTTTATTTACTTTTTAACACGACGAGTGAATAATTACTGAATAATTATTCGGGTAACTGAAATTTATACGTTAGCCTCAAGCTAGAATCGCATTGGCTATTTGAAAATTGTTGGGTCGATATAACATTTATATTTCTTTTATTTTTCTTTTATTTTTCTTTTATTTTTCTTTTAATTTTAATTTTATTATTTTATTTAGTTCTTTTTTTCTTACTAAAAGAGAAATAATTATAAAAAAGAAACAAATAAAAGAAGAGGCTTCATATAACATTTGTATATTAAATTATGAGAGAAGAAATACACTTGTTAAGCGTCGCATTCTGAATGTATGACATGATGTATACAAATTTAATATATTTTATATCATACATAGAGATTTTAATATTTTATTAATATTTTATAATTGCTATAAAAAGTATAATAAAAAAAAAAAAGATAGAAAAGAAAATTTCCTTACAGTTAAGGTTTTAATTTTGAAAAAAAGTTGGTGCAACACTACTTGTTATATATATATATATATAAATACACACACATACGTTGTTTTCTTTTAATTTTATTTTTTCTAATAATACTTTACCTTAATATCATGTCATAAATCAACAATGTTCAAATATAATTTCTTACTATATATTCAGTTTCAGATGATATTCAATTAAGGAGATTTGAAATATCAGTTATCCGTATATGTTTAGTAATATATTTTACATTATAGATTGAGAGAACAAAAAAAAAAGTGTCTTAAAAAAAAATTTGAATAGTATTGAGGTATGTTCGATAATACATGTGACTTGCACTATATATTATATATTATAACTAAATAAGTGATATGTGTCTCAAAAATGTATTTCTATGAAAATCTAGCTACACATCATCTTTTTCTGCCTTTTATAGAAATAATTGTCATTTCTTTTGCTATATATTTATATATATATATATGTAAGGACATATATTTCTCCATGTATCACTTCATACAGACATCAATTGAAATATTATATTTCGATAAATACTACAAGTCACATAATTAGTTTTTAGAGTTGGAAATTGCTTATAGTAAATTTTTTTATGTAATAATCCTAAAACACTTTGTCTGGCCATGCTTATATTTCTATCATGTAATTTGTAGAAAATGTAAATTATGAAATTATTATTGTTTATTTTATCATTGTAATTAATATTGTAATTAACATCTTTGTTAATTACATATTCAGAGAGAAGACTTGCACATGGATAATATATATATATATATATATACATACATACATACATCTATAAATATAAAATACTATTAAAGAATATACTTTCTAAGGTAAAGGTTTATTATAAAGATAACTTTTATTAGAAAAAATAAAGTCTAATACTTATTACAAAAATTACGTGGACAAAATATATTTTCTCTGACCAAATTGTATTAAAAGTATATATAAAATAATATACTATACCTACTGCTGCACATAGAACGTCCATGTAAACAATCGTCGTCGAGCTGTGACGTCAGTATGCGCATGCGCATCAAGGACTTGTCAGCCTCTGCCCTCTATGTACTTTTGGTATTAATTACTTTCTTCTCGCATACATTGTTTGTGTGTAGAAAATTAAAAACGTTCTTTCCAAAAAATACGCGATAAAATACTTTCCAATCAATATGATTATTCCCGTGAGATGTTTTACTTGTGGAAAAGTGATCGGAAACAAATGGGAAGCTTATCTTGGATTGTTACAAGCAGAGTATACTGAAGGGTAATAACATAACCTCTTAAAATTACAAAACATTTATACACTTCTTTAATTATTGTGTTCATATGTATTAATTTGCTTTTGATTTTTTTCAAAATTAGTTTTAAAAAATTGATTTTAACAGTATAAGCAATGTATATGATAAATATATAATAAAAGTTATACAAAAATAGTTTATTTAATGTTTCAGAGATGCTCTCGATGCATTGGGTTTAAAACGATATTGCTGTCGCAGAATGCTACTTGGACACGTGGATCTTATTGAAAAACTTCTCAATTATGCACCTTTAGAAAAATAAATCCTATCATTAGGTATAGTTTTATCAATTTGAGAATATCTATTTTTATATCATTTTTGTATTGTTAAATATTTAATGAACGTGCTGAAAATAATTCATGAAAATGCGAAAAAAAAATAAGAAAAGAAGAAGAAGAAGAAGAAAAAGAAGAAGGGAAATATTTGATGGAAGGTAGCTCATGCAAATGATTCATTTCTATTTGTGCAGCTAGTGCATTATGTATTTTAGAATAATCATTAGGATAACAGAAATTATTATACAAAATTTGTTTCATAAAATAGTTGCATTATATTCGTCTAAAAGTTTTTCAAGTTAAATTAAATTTGAGGATTCTCTTGTAATAATTTCATTCATGATTCATTCTTTTATCTTAATACATATCAATATTAAATGCAATATAAAAAAGTTAGAAAAAAGTTATATTCCAAGAGAGGATGTTTATCTTTGAAATAGTCATTTGAAATATTTTCATTACACATATTGTAGAATAAATTGATATGAAAATATTAACAATTTATTATCTTTTTTTTATCGTTTGATTCGCTACAATAATACATACAAATATGAATTATGACCGATGATTTTTTATATGTATGATTTAACAAAATTTTCCTATGAAGATATCAATTTTGATTCTTCTAAAATTCTGAATGCACAGAATAATAGAAAAGCTATGTTATCAATGATTTCTAGATTTAATCAACTATCCGAGCCTATAATTTTCATTATAGCACTACGAGATCCAAATATTAAAGCTATTATACTAATTATGCATATAATGATATTTTTCACTGCTACCCATTTGCATGGTCCAAATCCAGTATCCCAATAGGTAACAATTTCAATAAGCGCAGGCATAAAAAGTCCCAATATTGAAAAACAAAATGCTCCTATTAAACTAATGAAAGGTCCAATATTTGGCACAGCAACTGCGAGTAATACTGTCAAATAAAAAACACAAATGATTATTAGATTATTATTGATGATGATCTTAACATATAATGAAATGTAGAAAAATATCAAAATGTTTAGAAGAATTTATACCTGCTCCAATAACCATAGTTGTTCTTAAAACATAGTTTGCTATAAGAGGTTTCTTTTGAAAACGATCTTTAATTCCAGTCCATGCGATATCTAAGCATACATAAAATTGTAATCCAAACGTACAATAAACTGCCAAGCCAATTAGAATTTGAACTACTTGAGCCGGACTGTAAAAATAAAAATATCCAATTTGATTATTAATTTGTTAATATCAATAATTTCACGTTAATAAATATAATTTGCATAATTGTTTACATTTCTTCCGTGGGTAAATTCAAAGTAATGCTATCTAACGTTGCATCTTGATATTTGATATAGCCTAAAAATCCAAGAAGAATATATATGAGAGTTACACCAGACATTCCTTTATTAAGAACGCCACAAATTCCTATAATATGTTGCGGTGTTTTCATATTATTCTCCAATGGCATAATTACACCTGTTAAGAATAGGATTTTGTATTAATTATCATTACTCAGTACTCATATAATACATATAGAGATGGTGCGTTCTATACTTGTTTAGTATAGCATGCATACCTATAGCTTCCATAGCAAAGACCGTAATGCTAAAAAAATGAGGAAAATCTTGAATAGGTGCTGCTAGCGGTAAAGTACCAATCGGTGGAAGATCCCAAACTAAATAATAAAATGTTATTCCTAATCCAGTACCCATAAATATATTAGCTACCATGGAAACTGGCGCAAGATACTTTAAATTAGGTATCCAGCTGAGTAGTATCAAGGGTATTAATAAGCAAGCTGTAATTTCGCGTATGATAGTATCCTCAGGTGCACTTTCATTATAATGTTTGATCACTTTTTCAAAATTGGCAGCGACAATGACCGCGTAGACGCTGCACGTGCCGAAATATGTTGCGAATAAACTTATTTGTATGATATATCTGTAAAACAATTATCTGTAAATCAATATTTTCAATCGATAATTATTGATCAATAATTTGTAATGATATATATCATACCTAGATGGTTTGGCAAGTTTAGTTGCCCATCGTGGTCCCATAGAAAATGCTATTTCTGCTACATCAGCAAAATCCATTTCCGTCCTCCTCGTTTTATGGTAAAGAACGTGCGCGCATTTGACCTAGAATTTGTACACAATGCGATAATGTTATTATATTGCCGCTTATTTTTTAGCCGAGTTATTTCTCATTCACTTACTAAAATATATGCGCAGTGTGTACATATAAAGGCAACAAAAATCGTTGCAAATATTCCGACTAAAAGACCAGCATTTTTGAAAGCAACAGGCATAGCCAATATACCTGTTCCAAGGGAAGCCTTCAATAAATGTGTCAATGTATCACAATCCCTGAATAGAAAAAAGAAAAGATATGTAAAGTTGAAAATATTATTCAATTGTTCATAATAAAGAAAAACCTCTTACGTTGTTGGATTATCAACTTTACGTTCGGTAAAAGGATTAAAAGCTTTTGCTTCTCCAGTTTCAATGTCTCTTGGTGCGACTTGTACTTTGTATCTAAAATAAAACATTAGATTTTCATACTTATACACTTTTATAATAATATTAAAAGATAAATAGAGATAGAGATATATTAAAATAATTTACTTTGCAGGTAGAACACCATCCTTTATTATATTGGTTTCATCTTGGGGTAGGAAAGTATCCAATTCAGTCGGTGGTTTATTATTAGCGTCCGTCTGTGTATTCACAAAAAGAACAAAACAAAAGATCATTGAGATAAGATAAATTTGTAAGATATGCAAAAATGAGAAATTTACAAAGACTTATATTATGCACAATTCTTTCTACTTGCCATTTTGATTTATGTTGTTGATTTATCTTGTAAATTTTGGTCACCTGTGAATAAAACAATTTTTACGATTAGACACCAATCAAACATAGATTATTATTATTACTATTATTTAGTAGTTTTCCACATAAATTGTTCACTTTGTGGTTTGACAATAAAATCTTATCAAAAGGTCAATTTGTAGACTTCGTCTTGTATGTAATTGATTAGTAAAGATAAATCAATTAAAAAATCAAACTATTTATTATCTTGTAAACTTTGAATTTATGATGTTTTTCCTAGATTCAAAGTTTATGGAAAATTTATACAATTTATCGGTAAGAAATAATTTATTTATTATCATACGTATTCATTGAAAACATTTGTTCAATAGAATCGGAAATATTTGGATTTATCGTTTAAAAAACACCCGGTATGTACCGTATATATATATATACATAGAAACGTGCATATAATAAAAAATACTTTTGATGTCGTCTGTTTCCGGTTTTATGAACTCGACCTTGGTGTCATATTCTTACATTCATAGAACATTTGTACATAAATTTGTATTATATATAGATAGATTTGTAAAAAGAATAATAGAAAAAGGAAAAATATCATAAATAAGAATTAAACGCAGAAAAATCTCCTCTTCCATTGGTTTCATTGCTTATCACTTTTTCAAAACGATTTCCTTGATTGTTGCTCTTATCTTTTGAATTAAACCGATTATTATATAAATATATTCTTAATTAATAAATATTTCTTAACTCACATTATCGATGTGTGTGCTTTATAATGTGTTTTAAATTTCAATAGTGTTGTAATTAAAAAATAATCTACATCTATATACGTAATGGCATTGCAGAAAAGCAACAAACAAAAACAATAAAGAAGATGTCTTATTTCAAACTATTATCTATCGCTGTAAACATTCATATTATTTATCATTTTATTTCTTTTTCTTTTCCTTTTTTTTTCCCCCCCCTACAGTTTATCAATTTATTTATTATACTGAAATACTTGCGTATTACAAATACAAGATTTGTATTATAAAAGTTGGAAAAAAAAAAAGAAAGTGTATTGCAACAATTCTCTGCAACAATTCTCTTCTTCATCCTTTCCAACGGAATTATCATAATCATTTGGAATAATTTATTATGAAAGCGATTGCAAGTGTTATTCCATATTTTCATATCTTGAAAAATGTATAGTTAATCGTGTTAATGTCGATAATCATTTTCTTTCTAGGAATAATGATAAGAAAAAAGGCAAGAAAAATTGCATTCAAGGCCAAAATAATAATCATCCAATAGGATACAAAGAAAATTGTAATAATTACTAGGTGTATATATATATACGAAAAGATTTTGTGTTTCTTCATTAAAAAAGCAAAACAACAAGCGTCCATCAGCGTCCATCTTTTAATAAATAATACGATAATATTTTCTGCTAAATCCAACATCAATAGTGATAATTATTATCATTGAGTCATTTAAGTAAACTGAGATTAGTTGTTAACTTTTTCGAGAGATTTATGGCGCCAAGTAGAGTGTATATTAAACATAACAACAATGTACTATTTAATAATAAGAATAATTCAATTTCTTTTTACACGGATTTCAAATTTCAAAGTAATTTTACTAATCAATTACTCTTTCTCAAGGTTTATCAAGCTTAACATGTTATTAACACTTTGCGCTTTTCTTTGATAGACAATCGCAAGTAACGAAGATAAAATTGCAGCTTCCTGTGAAGATTAATAAACACGAGTATTGTAAATAAGAATAGTATGGCGCTTCCTTCCTATGCCAGTTTAAGTATCGCAATGTTGTAAGGTCAGTGAAAGTTTGATCGTTAGTTAAGTAGTTATTTATCGTGTATATCGACAAAGAAAGTCAAGGGACATTAGAATTTATTCTAAACATGCTAATTGATATTTAACAAATGAAATGATTTCTTTTAGCTTGCTTCGAAATATTTCGAATGATTCCTATCAATAGTAAAATCCTACAAACTCATATCAAGAATTGCATCATGAAATTGCATCGATCAATTTGCATCGATTTTTCATCACGATCTATTTAGATCTATGAACTTTTGAAGTTTGACATTTGACAAGAATTCTAATACCCAAACGATCATTTCCAATCGAATGACGAAACTTTTGATACTCGATCATTAAAGTTCGTTGCACTTTATCGAAGCTATAAAAATATCATTTTGATGTTTTATGAAAATCAATAAGATTAAATTGCTTTTTTTATTTATGAATTTCTTTGCTAATGTTTTCATAGAAAAGATGAACACAATAAATAGTGATGAAGAGACCATGTGAAACGTTGACAAAATTGTAAACACTGATCGATAAACTGATTCACATGGTCTCCATGAGAGTAGTGTCACGCTTCGTATCCCAAGGATACGACGCGACTTAAACGATCGTAAGTCACGAAAAAGGCAGGAAAAAAAGCCATTCATTCTCCCCTAGTCTAAAACCATACCGATTCTAAGAATTTTGTCCCTTTTACCATTAGAAAAAGAAACCTGAAACGAGTTAGTCCATTTTCTCTTGCCAGCTAGTATGTCCCGAAATAAAGTTACTACTACTATTTAATGTTAGACTATTAAGACTTCAAACAATGAGAAATGAAGAAATCAATGTTAGCTTTTAAGAAAAATATGCATTTTTATGAAATAATGTGTAAAAATACGAGAATTATGACCTTCGATCATATTAAGACATCATGTTAAGTAATGATTGATAATTGTTACGCTCATATTGCTAGAAATTGACTAGTTGGTTAGATAATTATTATAAGATAAGTGTGGAATTCTTTCTATGCAAACAACGGTGTTTGATTAATGTTTTAACGTTCAATTCATAAATTCAAAAAAGATGCACTACACGTACTATTACGTTTTTATATGTTACATTTTTTTCTCTTGGCATATGGTGACCAGAAACAGATCATTTCTACGAGCTTATAAATTTCATTTCATTTTAACATTAACATCTCATTTGATAAATCATTTGTTGTTTACTTTATTTTGAAGAATTTTCTATTATTTTTATTATTTCATTAAATATTATTATCAACAGAGAGGAAAATAAGAAAAAATATCAAATAAATACGTATCGTATAATTGATAAAATTGTTTTGATTCTCTGTGTGTGTGTGTGTGTGTGTGTGTGTTGCGTTATACACGATAAATAAATTCCATTCATTTCAACTAACGTAAATATATATTCAGCAATTATATAAAATTACAGTTTGAAAAAATATTGACATATATTAATTAACTTAACAAATGTTGACTGTAATTCAATTTCAATATGCCACGTGATGACCAAAAACCATCTGCTTTTACTAAATTTATCAATTACTCGACATTACCGACCGAAAAAGCTCAAAAGAAAAGCCTAAAATAAAATAAAAAAAAGTCCAAAATAAATAAAATCGAATGTTTGTAAATTGTCGTTGTACCAAAAGTAAAAGTATTTCTTAGGATATCTCTGTATTTACTCTGTACATGTATGTTATATATAACTATATATATATATATATATACTACACGTGTAAAATACATACCTCGTGTGCATGGAAGATCGAAGAAAAATGACCGTTACTTTTGGCTGGCTACCTTTGGCTCATTCCTGGCAACTTGCTTCTCTTTTTCTAGTAAACTATTACGCATGGGAATAAAGAAGGATGAAAAATCTGGCTAGTAGTAATCTATTTTTATCTTACTCGTGCGTGTGCGCGCACTCCTCTAATTTTATATGTATGTAGGTATGTGTGGTGTACGCATGTATGATAGTAGGAAAGAAACCATGTGGTATACCGATATATTTGTGAGCTTCTAAATACTTGACAAAAATCTAGGAGTCGGCGAGACGACCACACTAAAATAACACGAATCAAACCCTTTCCGGCAACGATGGACGACCATAACTCGATGCAGTCCTCAACACGACTGAATCCACCGAACGAAACCCTCCTACTTTACCTCTCTCTCTCTTTCTCTCTTTCTCTCTCTCCTCCTCCTCCTCCTCTCTCTCTCTCTCTCTCTCTCTCTCTTTCATTCTTCCCACCTTCCCAATTCCCTTCTCTGACGCTAAGGATTTTGTGTTATCGCGTGAACGTATTTTACTGAGCGAACACCTTGGACGTATATAACAAATGTCTTGAAAATATTAATTTTGACGGAGAAACATTCCACTCGATTTATTTGACAATAAAAAAATTGTTTACACTTATTGTTTTCAAATTTAATTAAGCATATTGATTTAAATTTGGGTTCCTTTGTTGCTCGTTAAATCATAATTGCGGCGCGTTTATAGTTTTGACAAACGAATTTCATCGGACAAAGTGGCAACGGCCGAGTTAGCGTCGCTATACTAATACGTGGGAAGCACAGTGGTATGATGAAATCCTCAAAGTTGATGTCGTCGTTGACGCTCAACGAAGACGCTCGATTTCGCTTACAATTTCATTTAAAAATGAAACGAACGAACATACAACTGTTGGATTCCGTTGATCGATTCCATTAATAATAATAGGTCTGCTGTTGACTACTAATTTTTTTAACACGAGTTTTTTTGTTCTTCTTATGCAATATGGTAATAATAAAATGGATACAATCTATGCGCTAATGAGTAGAAAAGAATGACTAGGAGTTTGTTAAACTCCTTTTATCGTTTCTTAATATTCTTTCATTATTTTTTCGTTTGTTACACCCTAAATAATATTTGAAAAGAGTCCGCTTAAACGAGCTTGTATGAATAACATGTTCCAGTTTTAGATAGAACACCTCGTAGACAAGTTTGAAAAAAAATTATGTCTATTTGTTAAATTGCGTCAAGTTTCATTGCAACGTTCAGTTTTCAAATTCCACGAGCGTGTTCACCACAATATCAGCGGATATTCGTAACATGATCCTTAAAAGAATAGATAAGGAAACCTAATATTATAATATTATAATATCCTTAGAAGAAAAACAAACAATTACTAATAATTTTCCATCTATAGATGTGCGCATTAAAAATACAAAATTATAATATTAAGCAGATGAAGAAATGAATTACAAATTGGAATTCTAACAGATCTTGCTAATTGCTTAGGATGCTTCTTTTAAAGACAGAACATGATGCAATATTTGTAGGAACGCATAATAAAAGAGTACTATATGCGACCGAAAGAGTGCGTTTCTATTGCGCTATTTGTGTATCGCTTTGCGCATCGATTTTACACATTTGTCGTCAAATGTCGAGACTATCGATATAATCGGATCTCGTGGTTTGACTCGACGTCACCGTGAATTGAATAATAATTCACTACCGGTACATAAGAAGACGCAAATATCAATGTTTAGGCGCAATACTCTTTTTCTCTTTTCTTTTTTTTTTTTTTTTATAATTATTATATATAAGGTGTTGCCGACAATACTAAATGTTCTTGAACGAAATCAGTTTATAATAGTTTCGATCGTTAGTTCATTTCATAGTATATACGCAAGATAATTTAATTCACATGTGCGAAAATCGCCATTCCGGTATTGGTCGTTTTCCTTTCCATCGAATTGGCAAATGAAGTTTCGTTGGTACATTTTTAGCATACCATGTATTTAAATCGTGAAGATATGGCTTTGTAAGCATTCGAAATTCCTCCTTTCGTTTCGTATCCGTTGTTGGAAATTGCATTAGCTCGTAAAGTGCTTGCCATCTCATTTCTTTTTTTACATCTGATTTTTTTCCAGCACAATCTTTTTCTAAAGTCTACATTCAATTGCAAAGGAGAATTTTATTTTTCTTTTCCAAACAATTACTATAGGTTCATCTTATTGTTAATAAACTGAAAATATACGTCTTCTTAGAGACGTACTATAACACGACACCGGATATTCAATTATCCACGCTAACGCAATCATTCTCATAAAATGTTTTAAATTGTTCCTTCCATAAATTGACTAAAATAGTTAAAAAAAAAAAAAAAAAATAAATAAATAAAGTAGAAGTATCCTACAAAAAAATAGAAAAACATAGAAAGATAAAACATTCGCTTGATAAAATTAAAAATAAGAATAGAACCTGAATATTGTAATTGACATGATCATTGTTCATTCCTTGTTCATTGTATTCCGATCGGTTATATCCATAACAATAGGTAGATTCAACAGGAGATTTCGATCTCTTGTTACTTTCGTCTTCTTTCCACGAAAATGGTTCCTCATCGGATCTAATAATTATCAAATGACAAATAATAGAAATAAAAATATAGGAAAAATGAGACAAATACAAAACAAATACCTTGATATTTTATTTTCATTTCTTGTTTTGGCGCCGCTACATTGAAATCCATTAAGAAATTTGTCTTTTGGCACATTTTTCAAACGTCTCTTTTCAATATTCTGATACTCGTATTCCTTAGATCTTGGAAATACAGATACATGATCTTAAAAATACAAAGAATAAATAAAAAGATCTAGTGATTGACGAGTTATTAAAAAATTAGTGTCGCTAGAATATTTGAAGAATTAGTTCTCTAGAATTTGAATCAATTTATCGTTTATGCGGTTAATATTCGATTGGTCGAAATTGCTGATGGTACATATGCTATATATCTTTCGATTACTTTTAATGGAGAACAATTAATATTCCACGAGGACTATTAAGTCCAGAGATTCGTTATACGATCATTAATGTACACTCAGGATTATATACAGGGTGTTAGAAAAAATACAAAGGACCGGTGCAGTCCACAACACATTCTATATATATATATATATATAAATCATATCTCTCCTATAAATGTAAATATGAAAAGATAGTTTATCAACTATTAGAAACGAACAAAAAAATAAACTTCTTTATCAATGACGTCAGATATTTGCAAGAACCACTTATATATCATCGATAGCATTTCAATATTATCAAACTTTCAATATAGACCGTTAGAAAATTTAAAATTTCCTTCTCCATTACTAATATTTGCAAATATTCAACGTCATTTTTACACATGTACAAAATTATAATATTTATTTATTTATTTATTTATTTATTTATTTATTTATTTATGAAGGAAGGAAATAACATACCTATGGCATTTTGATAAGAATATTGAAATTGATTAATAAAAGATGAAAATTCATATATAAGAAAAGCATCTTTCGATTGAGCATACCACGATCTTTCCTTTTCAACTATCGCGTTAAGTATACGAGGATCAAGTTCACTAGGTAGCGCCACAGGGTCGTCTGTAATTAATCACGTGGGACCTTTTATTTACCTTTATTAATCCAATCAGTTTAATTCGATTCTACTCGAGTGCGGTTTAAATAAGTTCGTTTCGATAGATCTAACATAAGTGCATCTACACTAACCTTTCTATTTTCAATCTTTAACTTACCAATATTTCTTTTTATGACAGAACAGCAGAGTTGTTGTTTCGCTGTACATTTGTGCGATGGCATTTGAATTAATTTGTCGTCTAAGAAGACACTATCGGATCAAAATGTCAAAGGGATCTTTTCAAAAAGGTACTGACCGGTAATACGAGACAATTCATTCATTAATACTAATCCAAATTTAAACATTTATTTATTGATCAATTCAAATATTCTTCATAAATTGTAATATACCATTGACATGGTGAGACACACTTTCAATTTTTTATCTCTTTACTCAATAATTTATTATTAATGCGTAACTTTGTAATTTCTAACTTCAGACACTAAAAACAGTTTAAACATGTATGTATATCGATCAGATTATTTTTGTGTACAGTACAAAATTACAGCCAAATTCATATTCACTTTATCTCGACTTAACCTAAAAACTAATAAAAAAATAGTACAATACTAAAAAAGTATCTTTCACTCCCATTGTTCATTTCATATAAGAAATGCGTGAAAAACATATTGAATTTAAAAATCATCTCTAGTCAAATTTCTATTATTAATAAAAATATCCTTATTATTTATGTCATATTCATGACATAAAATATCCTCATGAAAGAGGGAAATTTAAAGGGACACAGAAGAAAGGGTAGGAAGAGTAATAAAAAAATGAAAGAGCAATTGGAAATGCTTAAAAAACATTCTAAATCATCTATCCTCGGTATAGAGGAAGACGTTATATCGGAAAATAATAAAGAGCAATATCTCTTTTTGCTCGAATTTTGTATACAGCGAATAACTGGCAAGAGATTAGCGAAATTAAATCAAATGTTTTTTGTACCAACTAGTGTTGGTTTAGAATTTTTACATTTTACGGAAGAAGATAACATCGAGATAACTCCGGTTGATTTATTATTTGAGCCACAAGCTGGTATAGCAGATGACATTGAATATTTTTACTCTGGTAAATCAGTGATGTTTGCGATGGATCATGAGACGACAAAGAACAAGTCACTGGAATTTACTGTGAAAATGACAATAAGAAAAAGGATGCCAGAGGGTATTAGACCAGATATTTTAGTGGGTGTTGCAGAATTCGAATTAACTAAACAATTTGCTGCATTAAGAAAGGAGATGTTGCAATGCTGGCATAGGAAAATACCACCAGCCAAGACTTTTGAGGATTCAATTCCTTTAATAATGAATGAAAAACAAGTTGGCGAAGTTCTTCTCTATGTAAGAATGTCTGCTTTTGGTGAGACGATAGTTACAGAATTTCAATCACCGGAATTAATCAAAAATGGATCTACTTATGTATTTAAAGGAGAAGAATTAAATGACCAATTTTTGGCATACAAATGTCGAATGGTTGACTCGGAAAATGTACAGGCACAGGAATCATCGATCATCGATGTTCCTTGTCGTGCTTGCGTTCTCGAAGAGTATAATTGTTTACCTTGCGGTCGGTCAACTGGCGCCAGAGCAAAAGATCAAATTCAATCGGATGATCGTAAAAGTTTATGTCTTTCAGAAGTTTACAAACCAGCCTCTTATCCAGCCAGTATATTAGAAGATAAATCAAAGAAAGATTTTTGTAATGATATAAGTAAACCGGCTGGTCCAATTCAAACTAGTCGAGGTCCTGTACAAGCTTGCGGCAAAGCTGTGATTCTCAAAGTTTCTGGTCTTTTGAATGCGGAAGCTAATAAGCAACCAACGGTCACAGTTTCACCGGAATGCGATACGACTGGACCCGATTGTTCGCCTAATTCTGAACATGATGTTTTTATTTTGAGAATTGGTAAAAAAGGACTGGTCGGTGCTGACGAAAAATCAGACTTACAATTAGAAATGAGGACGCCCAAGGGCCCTGAAAGAAGACCTCCGATCAGATATGAAACGCGTCAAATACAAGCCGACATCGAGGAGAAAAAAAAGAAAGCTAAAAAAGGAAAGAAAAAGAAAAAAAAATAAAGAAATTCTTCTAGTTAAATAATTTCACTCTATATAAATATCATTTTCATATACGAATGTAAATTCTATCAGAAAGGATGCCATCTATCTTATAAATAATATATAAAATGTGTTTTTCTTCTTTTTTTTTTTTTTCTCATGCTTTTTTCTAATGACAGTTTTAAATTATAGCGTATAGATTAGATACTTATATCATTATATTTTAGGCCAAATTTGTGAGCAAATTAATAAAAAAAAACTTTCCACATAAATTGAATTTAATTGAATATGATAATATGGACGATAGTCAACAATTATTTCTCATTGAATTTTTGGTAGACAAAGTTAACATTCCAGCTATTCGAGCAATACATGAAGAAATGTTACCAGTGACAACCTGCGTTTCTTTCCAGGTTGATACTTGTTATTACTATTACGAATAAAAAGGATTATAGAATCATGTATGAAAAATGTGTAACAGGTCCTTGGCTTACCACCTATCAATATTAACGAAGAAGCATCCGTCGATAAATGCGCTTGCCTTAGCGGTGATGTTCAAGTATTTAAAAAAGGAAAGTCATGTCTTTTTGCCCTACCCAATAATGTTCTTCAAAAACCAATTCATAGTTTTCCTGTAACCATGTCTGTTTATAAAAAACTTCCACCCGGAGTATTACCAGATGTAATGTTAATTGGCACTCATCAGATACAATTAAGAAATCTGATAAACGATTTACTCAGTCAGCGTATATTTAAAAATGGCAACCCGTGCAGATCGTTAAAAAGTACTTTTAGGATTACAACAGCCACGGGACAAGGTGTCGGCGAAGCTACCATCTTTATACGTGTATCCTGTTTTGGAAAAAAAATAGTTACTCAATTTCAAATCCCTCACAATAAAAAACCTTACTTATTCAAAGGAAGCGAAGATAGTCCAGTATTTCAATGTAAAAGAATACCTTCAAACATATTTTTACCAGAACCTGTACGATGCAATTGTCCTGTAAAAAAAAGTCCCGATGGCAGTGGTGAAGGACAAATTTGTTGTCCTGAAACTAAATCTGATATGGATAAACGTAAACAGGCACACTGCGAACCTTGTTGTTTATGCAGTCAACAACCTATTTCTAATTGTTCTGACTTACAGTTAGTGTTTACATTGTTATATCTTCTATGTGATTTATTTCATAATGAAATAATCATTTATTTCAATATTATTTATCCTATTTTAGACCGCAACAACAGTGTCAAGCAGAATATCTTAACTCTAAAAATTATTCTCTTCGGACAGCACATGCTGTCGCTGCAAATACTTGTATCTCCTGTTGTTCACCTCAACCGATTAAAGACATCACCTGTGCTCCCTGTTGTGGCACAAAAGGAACTACTTTTGATGAACTTCTTAAAGAGAAACCTGTAAGAAAATGTGGATGCATTATCAAAGAAAAACCAACTTGTAACTGTAAACAGACCTGTTCTTAAAGAAATTATAGTGAGTGGAAAATCCATTTTTATTCAATTATCGTTCAAAGCTTATGCATAGAAAAAAGACGAAAAAAAGGGAAAGAGAGAGAGGGAGAGGGAGAGGGAGAGGGAGAGGGATAGAGAGAATTAACATGAAATTGTTGAGAATGGTTTCAATGCTCTTTTTTTTTTTTTTTTTTATTAACATACCAAAAGTAAACTTTTTGAATCATAATTTTGATGAATTATTTAAAATGAAAAAATGTATTTATTATACAATAGACGGCGGCGGAGGCATATCAAATAAATAATACACACAAATCATATTAATGATAATATAAATTATTCAAATAATAATATCACATAAAATAATGTCCGAACATATCAATGAAAAGAAAAAGAAGAAGAATAAGAAGAAGAAGAAGAAGAAATCAAAGACAACTGTGGCAAAAAGAACATCAGAGATTAAAGCTAAAGAAAGGAAAGCTTGTGAAGAAGAACAATTGCATAAGTGGGAAGAGGCATGGAGACAAAAAGTTGAAGCACAAGAAGAGCTCGATGATTACAGATGTTGCCTACATAAAGGATTATGCTTAAAACCAAAGACACAGTCTAATATTTGGATAAATGTAATAGAAGATAAAATGACTCAAGAAGTTCATATTGCTTTCAAGTAATTTATGACTTAGATGAATAATATTTTGTTGTTGAATAATTTCTTCCTATTAATTAATCTCTGATTTGTAATTGTTGATTATTACTATTATTTTATTTGTTTTCTAGACACGTACCTGTACCTAAACCAAAACCTCCTTCAATTCCAAAATTCAAAATAATGGAAATTTCGTCAAGTTGCAAAGACAAAATTGATCAAATTCACAATCAGACGAAAAAAGAGACAAAAGCTATTAAAAAGAAAAAGAAAAAGAAAAAGAAAAAATAATAATGCTTTTCTATTTGATTCACACAAAGGAAATTAATATTATACGAAATATTAATCAATAAAATATAATATTCAGTTGCAATATGTCGTTTAGTGTTTAAAATACGTGGTCGTTTTATTTATAATAGATCTCTAGATGAAGAAAATGGAAGGTACATCCGCAATGTCGAGGCACGTTATTTTCGTCGGGTTGACTCGAGTGCATTCACCTGACAACAAGTAGCTTAATGGGTACATAGGGAAGTCAAAAAAGTCTCCAATAGCATTTATAATATATTTATATTCATTTTTTCATTGTTATTTCTTAATAATAATATCATGTTTTTTTTTCCAATATCTTTCTAATAATTTCTAATAATTTCGAAAAGTAATATAGTATTCATAATAGAAATTAAATAATCTCATTCCAAATAATAAATAATTTACAATATTTATTTATTGTTGATATAAGAGATTAAAAATAGAAATAATATAAATTATTTTATTCCTAATCTAATGTCATTTTTCTTGGTATTTCGGAGTGATAGATTACTTCATCGCCCTAATGAACCTTAATTACTCGAAATTGTCGGTTATTAGAAAGATTATCATTAAATAACATAAATTTTATAATCAGCCAGAAATGTAGCCACCAAAACATTCCTTTTTGCGAGAAATTATTTCTAGAACGATTAAATTAATTTTTCAATAAATTAGTAAAGGAAAACATACATAAAAATAAATTACCATCCAGATGCGAAAACACATAAAATCGTTCAACGGAAATGATATTCTCCCAAAGAGAATGCATGTGCCTTTGAGGGAGAGAGAGAAACAACGTCTACAGGGTGGACCAAAAATTGCCAAGAAATTTCACATCAAATCAATTATTTCTTTTCGAAAGATTTTCAGGTTTGCATTTATTGTTAAATCTATAGTTTTACAAACTAGGCTTGTAATTTAATAATATGTAAAGGAAAATTAATCTGACAAGTCTCTTAAAATGAGTTTGCCCTAACTTTTAGGCCACCCTTTAAAATCGTATAAAAAGAAAGAAAGTATAATGGTTTCTCTTTGTAAAGTCTCTCTTCGCCATTATCAGCCCCTCGTTCATCAATCTCTTTTCCACCCTCGCAGGAGACCGGCTTGTAAAGGGGGTGGATAGACCGATATATTCGAGCAGGCGCACTAAAGGTGCTAGAGGTGGAGGAAGAGGTGGAGGAAGAGGTGAAGGAAGAGACGGAGGGATGGCTGGGGGATGTAGCTGAGAGTACAAACCGCATATATAATCCAGCGTAACGCGCGTTTACCTCGGCCAGAGAGAACTCTACTACCTCGGATCGAGTATCAAAAATGAACGTGAAAATGTTCGCAACACAACTACTCATTTCATTTAAATACTTTTAAACTAGGGTGACAAGTGTTTACCAAATGAAATTATTGTCTATTTAACGATCGAGCAATGAACAACGGTTCTCCACAGAATTCCGATACGGCTGCCCAGCAACATCGAAGCGGCGTTGACAACAGCGATGAAGAGGAATGGAGTGGTGTTGTCGAATGTGTAATTATTTATTTATTCCTTTATTAATACTATACATCTGTCATACAGTGATTTATTATTATTCAATTATTTTTTCTTTCTTTTTTTCTATGCTTCTGGTGCTATGCTTCTAATCTCTGGATGCGCATATGCGCATATGATTTTTGTGTCTATTCCCTTGATAGCAGGATTAATATTAATATTAATATTAATAATATATTACATAATATAATGAGAAAGTTTGATGATCTATGTGCAGCGCGTAAATGTATATAAGGGTTGATAGCGCAAAGAGAGATCGACTTTCTCTGATGAACGGATCGAAATACTGCATAGGGATTATACATTCTTGCAACATTTTTCTTCATTACAATTCTTCAAGTTGTAAATGTTATTATTCATTTTCTCCTCTTTATGTTTTCATTATTATTACTATGTTATATTGATACTTACATGTGGTTAGTATCATGCGAAACGTGATTCTTCGTTCGTGATTCGTCTCGTCGTTCGTTCAGGGTCGGTGAGCTTCTTTACCTGTTTACCTTTTATTGATGATTATTTTTATGTTTAAGTAAAACGTTGACATTTTCGAGATCATTGAATAGGTCAAAGACCGTGTGTAACTTTCCGTAATAATTTTATATCGATTTGTTCTTTTGTTGATGCTTATTATTATTATTTCAATCTTTTTTCATTTAAAATAGCTAGAAAATTTGATGTCTCGGTATAAAAGAAAAGAAATTCAATAGATACGGTTATATTTATATTGATATTGCAGGCTGTACTGGAACGATCCAAGTCGGATCGTGTGACAAGGGTGGATGAGGATAGGCGACGCCGTACCATTATCGTGGAAAAGAAAAATGGCACGTATGGTTTCACGTTACAGGTAAAATATGCATTCACCTTTATGTTTTATATATTTTTGCTTTGCTAAGCCACAAAGAATATGTGTCATCTAATCTTTGCTAATTTAAAAATATATTATAATTATTGTAATATCTATATGTGATTTATTTATTATATATCATTATTCAAATAATTTGTTCTTTCTTTTTTTTTTTTTCAGAGTTATGGTATACATTATAAGAGAGAACAAGAGATAGAAATGATCACTTATGTTGATTATATCGAATACGATGGACCTGCATTCAAAGCAGGTATGAGAGAAGGTGATGTTATACTTTCCATAAATGGTCATGAAATGGATCGAGCCGATCACACTACTCTCGTTAATTTTATAAAGAACTGTGATACCAGAATGAGAATGGTCGTGTCATTTGAAGATTGTGTAAGAAAGGTATAAACACAGCCACATTCATACTTGTTCATACTTACTCAAGTATTATTATATAATAATGAAATTGAAAAAATGACTAAATAAAATTTGATTTTCTAGGTACAATTACATATGCGTTATTTAGAACTACAACGTGCTCTTCAATTACGTTTAGGTGAACTTGAAAGATTATGTGAAAGAGAACGTTCCATATTAATGGGTCGATGGAAGACTCATTCACTTCCAGCACGTAAAAGAACACCCAGTAGTATTATAACGAGTAATCCTAATCAGCCATCACCATCTTCGAGTTTTAATTCGTCAACTATTCAATGTTGTCGGCCTGCAACATCTACGGAACATCTTTTACTTTATAATTTGGTGATTATGCAAATTAATATTAATAACAATTGTTGGTGAGTATAATAAATAAAGTAATATGACGATGGTCGATTTTCAGTTTGGCGATGGCCGACCATGTTTGATACCACGTGCAGCTTGTTTAGTAACGGTAGGGCCACCACGTTCTCGAAGCGATCATCATCAGTTTCTTTCAAAGATGCCTAGTGAATCTGGCGCATCCACTTCTTCGCGTCATAGTTATCATCAAGCAAATGGTATGAGCGGTACTCCAGCGAAAATGAAATCGCACAAATCTTGTCAACAGCAACAAAATTCGTCGACGAGTGGAGATGTATCGACGGTTCACCATTCTCAACAAAATAGTCTCTGCGTAGCTTGTATCTCAAGTGCCAATCGTCGTCGAGAACAATCGGATACTGGTAGTTTGGATGCATATGATCTAGCTAGTCCTTGCTGTGATCCAAATTGTGTCCCAAGTCGTAGAAGACGCGAGAAACAACGTCGAGCTAGAAATGAACAAAATCATCTTCAACAACAACATTTGCAGCAGCAGCAGCAGCAACAACAACAACAACAACAACAACAACATACGGCACAAGCTCAACGAGAACAGCAGCAGCAGCAGCAGCAGCAACAACAACAAGGACAGCAACAACAGCAGCAGCAGCAGCAGCAACAACAACAACAAGGACAGCAACAACAGCAGCAGCAGCAGCAACAACAGCAACAACAACAACAACAACAACAACAACATGGTTCGCACAATTGCTCCAGATCTTCTGGTCATAGTCTTCATTCCATTACAAGCAGCGACGTATCGACTACCGCTGATAGCGTAGCTTCTTGTTCTACGAGTTTAAGTACAGACACTCTTTACTGGGATCCAAATGTTCATCAAAGACCACCACCGTGCCTTCAATATGCCAAACCCAAGTCATGGGATAATTTAACGACAAAAGCTTTCGGGGGATACGGATTTGGTTACGGTTATCTTGATACAGCTACAATAAAGACTTACAGCGCTGAAAGACCTGGAAAAGGAGGTCATGGACGCGCTAAAACACCTACGGGTACGGTACACAGAAGAACAAATAACAATACGTCTTATTCGACTGGTAATACTCGACATTTTCAACCAACTAAATCTACCGAAAGTCTTCTCATTCCACCTCCTTATCAAAACGAGCTAGACGGTAGTATAAGCTGTGAATGTTTAGACGAACCAAGCCCAAGATTTTTACCAGTCGTTCAATTGGAAAAACATAAAGAATCCGGCTACGTTGCTACTAATCACGCTCAAATCAGACATCGACGTTCTAGTCACTCTGAAGGAAAGCTCAGAGCGATTAACAGTTCCGAGGTAACTCGTTTGTGAATTTATTTCTTCCTAGATTTCTGTATATCCTGGAATATTATGTAAAACGAGCGTTGTATCATATCCGTGGGGTGGTCTTTTCTGCTCTTACCAATCAATCTTTTCTATAAAAGCTTGTATTTGTGTTTTCCGGGAATAAGTTCGAGACTTATGACCAAAGACGAGACTGTAATATTGATCTATAATGAAAGAAATGCAAAACTACTGCACTTGGAATTGTCTCCTTGATCTACGTAGAAACTAACAAAGTTTGATAAATTTTTTAAGGGCTCGCCAATTAATAGCAAACAGTTTAATACATTAGATAGCCACTTCCATGGACAACACAAATAAATATTATCAATAAAACAATTCATTGTGAAGATTTTTATTTCATTTTCCGTAAATACAGGTGTTATTAGAAACAACAAATGTTAAATCTAGTTTAACATTTTATCTTTTTTTTTTAGAGCCTGGTGTACGAGTATATATTTATCCATATATATATATATGGATGCATGTATAATATATAATATATTGATTGATTTGTTATTGATTATTAAGTCCCGCTTCTCAATGAAAAGGGTTAGAACAAATTAGTTAAGCTGCCAGATGATTGGCTCATGCGTCGACCAATCAGAAGGAAAATTATTACACCGATAGAGGACGCTCTTTGTGCAGTTTTCAAACAGACATAGCTTGGTTAGGTTGTGTTACTCTCTTAAATGTTATATTATTCTACTAAATATTTGTAAATTTTGATAAATATTGTAAAAATATTATACAATATGCCTAAAAGAAATGTAGTATCGTACATAAGGCCTGAAGAGCCTAAATTTTTAAGGGAATTAAAAGAACAGATTAACTACAAAGAAGGACCAACAATTAACACTAAGGTAAGAATGTATAACTAATTTCTTATTTTTCTTTATTGATCTATTATAATTTATTTCTTCATGAAATTTCTATCATCTATATAATATTAATATGAAATGATATAACTTCCTTTTTGTTTGTTTTCTTTTGAATAGAGAGAAATGTTGCCATGTAATGTTGATGATGAAGCAGAAGATTTAGAGGGAGAAAAGCCTCTTGTTGTTGTATTAAATTCAGGAGACCTAACTGCTGAAGAAGCTGAAACGTTTGAAAAACAAAAACAGAAAGGTAGATTCATATATATTTGTTTTTATTTGATGTCGAATAAAATTGTATTATATCTTTTTAGATATATAATTATTTATGTTTGAAAATTTCTAGATGAATCTAATGGTCCAGCTGATTTGTCTAAACGAATTATATTCAGCAGTAATAAATCTAAAAAGAGGACTTTGAATTCCGTAGAAAAATGTAATAATAAGAAAGGTAACAAGAGCAAACGCAGTAAAGCTGTCTTATCCTTTAACGACGAAGAAGAAGAAGAGGAAGAAGAAAAGATGTGATAAAAAGCATCTTTGTAAATATTGTAAATATTTTAACTCTTTAATTTTAATTAATATTTGTCAATAATGTGTTTTAATTGAAATTTGACAAATTTCAATGAACTTGTACATATAATATTACACGTATTGTGTAAAAGTATACAAATATGATTGAATAGGTAATAGAAGAATCATTTGTATGGATATAGTATATGTTATTTTATAATAAATTTGCAATGAAGAAAAATTAAAAAAAAAAAAAAAAAATGGAATTACAAGAAAAAAAAGAACGAAGCTTAAATTAGAAAAGGGCGGATACCTTAATGTCAACCCCCCCGTGTAGTTCATAGATTGTTGCAATTGCAGATTGCCCTTATTCTTAGGGAGAGTCTCTCATTGGACATGCACGTGTATATGATCACGTGATATTTTAGAAGAAACGCTACTGGTCGTTTGGCCCCTTTAACATAACGCATACGTCATAAAATTGGTGGTCACGTGATAGCGGTAGCCATCTTGGCAGTTTTAGACGACGGAGGTAAGAAAGATCCATGACGTCGAAGCCAAATAAACATCAAATATATGTGAATAATATCGATACAATAAAGGTGTGTGAGAAGTGTAAAACGAGTCTTAAGCGTGTCCGACATTTGTCAGTGTATCAAACAGTCAGTGAATTTAAATAGCGCGGCATTTCAAATGCGTGTGTGTTTCGATTATCGGTCCTCTTTGGGGGGATAATCGCGATCAGACGTCGACCACCACGGCAGCTGTTCGACAAGCTAAAGGCAGCCCTTATAAAGAAATGGCGGGATCAATCTAAATCCCTTCCTTTAGAAACAACTGTATCAGCAATCCAATTTCTTTTCTTTTAAAGCGAGGTAAAGTAAATCTCGCAATCGAGCTAATGAAAATAGTATATATTATATATATATATATTATATTATATTATACTACATATGTATATGTATATGTACATATATATATATATATATATATATATATATATATTCAACTTTTACAATTGATCTCTCTGGAATTTCTCATTTCTACGGTTATATACTTAATAACACAATACTCCAGGGTTGTATCTATCTATCTATCTCCTGTTAAAGATCATATTTTCAAGAACATTATAATTTTGTTATGACAAATTTGATATGACATTTAACTCCTCCAAATTTTTAATGTTTGCTAACATGAAAAATGTTAAAGTTTTGCAAAAATCTTTATTCTCATAATTATTATAATATTTAAATTAATATAATCTTCTGTCTCGCTTTTTCTTCGTCAGAAAAAAAAGACATATCAGAATGTAAAGAAATATAAAGCTTAATTTATAAAATGAAAGCGTTTAATATTCCCTCTAGAACATCCATCCTCTGATGTTCTTGACGAAGAAGGAGAAGAATGAAAAGCTGTAAATTTGGTACGGCCCTGGGCATAAGTTTTTAATGTTACCACCGACGCTTCTGTCCTCTAGTGTGTAACACATTCATCGTTAGAAATGTTTACTATTTTCTCCAATTGGTGTGAATAAATCGTGCGTAAGAGGACATTGTAAGAAAGTTGTAATGCGAAATAACAACATACGGGGTAGGGGTAGAAGAAAATAATGTACAGTCAAGGGGAAGAAAATAGTACTTTATAATAAATCTGTGTAGGAGTTCAATGGTGGTCAGGTGCGTATTATTGGGTGCGTGACCGAGACAGAGAAAAGAGAGAGGGAGAGGGAGAGGGAAAGATGAAATGAGAAAGAAACAAAGAAAGAGACGGACGGACCGACAGACGGATGGACGGACAGACGAGGAACAGACAGACAGACAGACAGACAGACAGATGTAGTCGCCGCCACCGCCGCTGACGGCGACGACGGCGACGACGACAACGACAACGACGACGACGATTATAACTGCAGTTGAAGCAGCGTCGTGTGGTGCTTAATGTAAGGGACACGGGAAAAGAAGAAAAGAAAGACAAAAAAAAAAGGGGGAAAAAATTCAACAAATTATAAAACTCGACACACACGCGCGCAAAGTGGCAACAACGCAAACAATATTTAAAAAGGCAATCATGTGTGATGGATATTCGACTTGATTTTCTTCGATTGTTCATTCAACGAGTGCATTTCCCCTTCCCTCCCTTTTATCGTTCAGCTCTTTTGCAAAGTTAACGATGGCAACGTATCGCGCGTCCTTCACAGAAATGATACATTACGTGTACGGGCTGAAAAAATCCTATTTAATCAAAGAAAAACTATTAAAGAATTATTTAGACTACAAGTTTTAAGAACAAAAATAAGAATATAATTGGTCCATTTTGGTTAATTATCAGCGAACCAAGTCCTTCGGTTATTCCTACTTGCAATATCATATATTTCATGACATAATATAATATGTAAAAGATTAGAAAATAAAACAAAAAATAAAGAAATATAATTAGGGTAGATCTTTGATGCGTCATGGGGTTGTTTAGCCACGTTTTACACTCGAAGAGATTAACCGTGTGACGCGCGTGTATGCGTGTGTATGCAAGGAGGGGATATGTGAGTGAGTCAAGGAGCACAAGAGAGTAAGAAAGAGAGAGAGAGAGAGAGAGAGAGAGGGAGGGAGGGAGAGAGAGATCGCAGACAAATCTACATAAGTCTCTCTCAGAATAAGAGGTTGTAAAAGGTAAAGTAAAAAAGGGTCGGAACAATCGAATCTCCGTTTAATTAATTTAATAAATGAAAAATGATAGACTCGTTGCATCTATGGCAGGTGACCGACGCTAACCGTTAAAAGCTGTACTTCGTGGACTCTCTCCCCTCTCTCTTTCTCTCTTTATCTATCCATCTCTCTCTTGTCCTCCCGCCCTTCTCCACTCCACTCTCCTCTCCTCTCCTCTCCTCTTCTCTCTTTCTCTCGTTCCTCTTTCGTCGGTCTGCTGCTACTGCTCGCTTCCGTGGTTGTGTGTCGCGTTGCACGGGTGTGCTTGTCGCCCAGGAGTTTATAAAAACCTTTTCCTTTGACGATTTTCAAAGTCGTGCATGTGTATATCTAAGAACAATTCTCGTGGAAGGATTGCATAGGATTACATTATTCGTGACCCGTCAAACGGTGCCAGCTCGAGAGGTAAATTTTCTTGGTTATGGGTTCACCTCTAAGGGGAGTTAGAAGCACGGAATTCGCAGCGCCATTTTGAAAAATTTTGGCCCCGCTAAAAATTTACTCCCTCTTTTCTCTCTCTCTCTCTCTCTCTCTGCCTCTCTCCTCTCTCTCTTTCTCTCTCCTCTCTTCATGCTCCTTGTCTTTCACTTCTTTTTATCTACCAATCTTCTTCTTTCATAATTGATGAATATTTTGAAAAATGGACTATTAATTTAGTCTTCTTACGTCAATTGTCTTATTGTATTTATTGTTTAGATCGACGGATCTACAGCCGTGGCCCCATGGACGGGATATTGGAAGAACCTCCTGTTAAGGACTCCTCTCAGAGCAATTCTGACAAAGTGTCAAAAGGTAGACTTTTTTTCTTGTCTTTTTTCTATTTATATTGTCACTATATGGTATTTCAAACTTATTCTCTTTTTCTTTTTATACTAGTTTACTTGCATTTTTCAAAAATGACATAAATTTAACATTTGTCAAGTGTTTATGATGATTATGTAAGCTGTCTTATAAGTATATGGTTAAAGATGGTAATATGAAATTTCTAACGCGCGCAATGTTCCACAATTTTGTCAACACTTTAAAAGCATTATCTGTTTGTTCTCAGACATGGTCATTCCCAACGGTATCAATGGAAAATATGCTACAGAGAAAGAAGACTATCAAGACTCTGATGGTTGCTCATTCAAAATTTCATCCAACGAGACTGTTAGTAAAGGAAACGAAGAGATGGAGATGGATGTGGAGGTGGAGGGAGAGGGTCATGGGAACGGGAATGAAACTGGGGATGGGGATGGGAATGGGAATGGGGATGAGGATGGGAATGGGGATGAGGATGGAGATGGTGATGGTGATGGTGGAAGAGATGGAAATGGAGAAGATATAGATGGAGATGGAGACGGAGATGGAGACGGAGATGGAGATGGGGATAGAGATAGAGATGAGGATGGAGATGGGGATGGGGATGGGGATGGGGATGGGGATGGGGATGTAGATGGGGAAGGCGAAGAGGAGGAAGAAGACGAAGATGAGGACGAAGAAATGGAGGAGGATATTATAGAAAGAAGAGGTTTTGAGAATGAAGAAAGGGGTACAGAATCGCAAGATAGTGAGTTAAATAAATTGAGAACAAATAGACATAAGGGGGGTTTATTGTACAAGTCGAGAAACGACTCTATGGTTTCAGAATCTTCCGATGGTGTCAGTGAGATAAACGATACTAGTGAAGTGTCCAGAAATGAAGACAAGTGTAGAAATACATCTTGCGAAGCTATGGATGTAGATGAACAGAGTAATAATTCAGATGTAGAATGTTTGGATGAGAGTATTACAAGAGTACGAATGGATAATGATAATGTGTTCGGTTTAAAACAATCTAATATAAATGAAGATAAAGATATGTCATGTAGTAACATGCAACAATCCAATAGTTCTGCTGAAACTATAGACAGCAGTATAGATACATCTGATGTAAAGATATGCGAAGAAAATGGATGTTGCAATAGTCCAGACATAGAGGAGATAACAACGGATAGTGCAAAGAATAATGGTCTGAATACATCTCAAGAGCGTTCCTTAAAAGATTCTGCTAAACAAAAAAAGTCAAGAAAGCAAGTAGATCTTAGTAATATTACGCCTAGAAGAAGTTCTCGTAATATTAAAAGAACAAGTTATATTGAAAGAGAAGTTGAAGAAGAAGTGGAGGACGACGGTTCAGATATAGAGGAAATAAAACCAGAAGATCCGTTGGCTGGAATAGATAGTAAGGATAAAGAGAATTCTAAACTAAAGTCACCTACGAAAAATAGTAAAACCACCATTGTGGTTAATGATACCAAGCGTTTGGTAGAAATAGCTGCTGGTAGTAAATCAGTAAAAGGTGGTAAAAAGGAACCTACGTTAGTTATAATAGATACAAACTCTATACTTTCTGGACGCGGAGGCATGCCTGTTGGTAGTAACAACAGTAAACAGCCTCACCATACTGTTTCTAATGCAAGTTCTTTCTCGGTCGTTCCAATGAATATGACCACTCAAATGTATCCAAATATGAGAACAACTATTACGCCAGTACCCATGACTTCTAAAAGTGCTGCTGCACAACAATTAAGTCCCAAACCGAGTAGCATGACTACCGTCAATCCTGCTTTGGCACCGATATTACCAACTTTAACAGATGATATGTTTGTCGTAGAAGCACCTTCGTTTATAGTACCTTACGTTTATGAAAAGCCTCCATTGAAACCATTGAAAGAATTTGTTTCTAAATTGGAAAAAAGCATAGAAGATAGAAAAAAGGAAGAAATATTGAAAAAAATGACAGACAATGATACTAAAGATAATCAAGATAATCAAGATCTTAACGAAGATTTGTTTGAAATAAATAATAAAAAAGTCGATTTTAGAAACCAAGAAAGTGAGAATGAGGGGGCAAGTTTAAGATCTAAAAAGGACGGAGGAGGAGGAGGAGGAGAAGATAGTGGACCTGATATGATGGCAGATGTTATGGAAACTGGTATTTCTAATATGAGTGAGAAGCATGATATGAGACAAGAAGATAGAAATAAAGTAATAACTTACTTTGACTTACCTTTGGGTAAATTTTTCATGCAAATCGGAGTAAATCTCGTTCAAGAATATGTACAAACGGATTTACTACGGACTCAGAAACGTAAACAAGGCAAAGGTAGCACGTCAGCTGAAACACAATTAGCTATAAATTCACTCATCAAGAATTTAGAGTTTAGTAAGGAAAATAATGAACCATTCCACTTAGAAATGAAAAAATGTGAATTCTGTAATTTTAAAACAGAATCTACATTAGTAATGCAGCATCATTTAGAAACTCCTCATATGCGAAATTATGTCTACAAATGTAACTTTTGTACCATGGAGGTTCGTAGTCCTCACGACATATTATTCCACATGGAAGCAGAACATAATACTCGTGGACGATTGGAACGCGGTCCAGCTTTTCATCAATGTCCAAATTGTCCATTTGAAGATAATCAAAAAGGCAAACTTACACGACACATTCTTGCTTGTTCGAAGAAGTTTAGACCAGAACGAAATCTAGAGCCTGCAGCGGATTGGGAGCCGCCTGCTAAAATTCCAAGATTAAATCGCGCTCGTCCTGTTGGACCGACCAATCCTAATGCTCTTGCTATGGCTATGAGTGCCAAAGGTGGTCCACAACCACTTTTACCCAAATTACTTCCTGCACCTACAATAACAGGTCGTGGAAGGGGACGACCGCCGATGCAACCTAGATACTCGGCGGATATGAAAACTTTAAGACCTGGTAGTACTACTATGCGCCAAGGTAAACTTTGCAAACTTTACATATTTCTTTACTAATATTTATTTCATATATATATATAATTACAAATGTAATATCAATGTACAAACATTTAATGTAGAAATATTTTAGATAATGTTGCAGGCATGATGTATCGACCAACATCTTCTGGCCTATTAGTTCCCGCTTCATACCAATTTGGTAGTAATCAGTTGTTCCAGGTAAATTATTTCATCATTTCTTTTTTATTCTTCCTACAATGTTGCAAAATGACATTAATGTATTTGCTATATTTTTCTTATACCAATAAGCATAATACATAAGCCAGAAATATGTCTATCTGAAATATGTCTGAAATATGTCTGAAATATGTCTGAAATGTGCAATCGAAGGTTTCATGAAAAACTCCTACGAAATATGTAATTAATTTGTAAGAAGAAATATTATGCTTACAATTAGGATTTTGTGTGTACAAAATGTCAAGTACGTGCGCGTATAAGCAAGATATAGAAAAATGTACAAAATCGACAAATACAAGATAAGACAAAATCTAAAGAAATTGGTAAAAAGATATATGGGTGGTGACAGGTGGTGGGTGGCTCTGGGACTGTCATGTCGGCTGTCTCGGGAGTGAGTAGCAGTAGCGGCGGCAGTTCCGGTCAACCCACACCCATTGCACTTGTACCCAACGTAATCGAGTCTCTCTCTAGGTTGTCCTCATCACAGGTAAATCAAATATTACAAGGTATCAGGAAGGTTCACTTATCTTCATATAGCATTTGTGATCGCATGGATAACACGTTCTCAACGGATGCAAAATGCGCTTAGTAATTTTCATTTCATTAAAATCACTTTTGTAAAAGAAACAAAAGAAAAATGTTGTATGTGGTTGGTTGCGCTTCTTTGGTACAATTAATATGCATCATTACTGTATTATAATAATACTTATCAAATAGATATATTATGCGTATTATTATGTTACGCATAACAACTATATGTTATTAATTAATTGTAAGTTAGGAAAATTTGTAACACTTTTGTTTACACGCAAAAGTCATTTGGAGTGGTATACAAGCTATGTACACTATATATATAATATAATGTTAACTAATCGCCAAGCAAAATGACACTAACTTCAAATTAATAGAGAATGACGTAAAAAAGGTGTGCCTTTAATAACGGGCCTTTCATAATATTTTCCAAAAGAAGAATATTATATTCTAAAGACAACAAATGATTAGATTATATTTACATTAGGTGAAAGAAATATTAATCAGAAAGAAAAGTATTGACGTATTATGCAAAAATAGAGATATAATTTAGAAATATCATTTTTCTGAATATCTATAAAACAATGTAAATATTGTCTTTTTTTCAGAACACAACGGCCAGTACAAAAAATCCTACAGCAAAATTATTAAGTCAACCGAGTATATCTATAACTCCATTACCACGTACAACATCTCAAACCTCGATTCCTGGTTCAGGAACATCTTCTAAATCTGGAGGGAAAAATACATTCGTTATATGTGAAATTTGTGATGGTTATATTAAGGTAAATAATACTAGAAGAAGTGAATAAACTTTAGAATTATTTTTAATAGAAATATCTCCTCTTAATCTGCTGATATTTATTATTTCGATAGGATCTTGAGCAACTAAGAAATCACATGCAATGGATTCATAAAGTCAAAATACATCCAAAGATGATTTATAACAGACCTCCATTGAACTGCCAAAAATGTCAATTTCGATTTTTCACAGATCAGGTAACATTTAAAATAATATATATTGTACACGTTTATTAATTTACTTAAATACTTTAGTTATTGCGAATTTTCGTGTTAGGGCTTGGAAAGACATTTGCTTGGATCTCATGGACTCGTTACGTCCAGTATGCAAGAAGCAGCGAATAGAGGAAAAGATGCTGGTCGTTGTCCAGCTTGTGGCAGAGTAAGTATATACATTTTCAGCCCTGTTGTTATTATTATTATTATTATTATTTATACATAGTAATTCAATATTAATATGAAATGATCGTTTGTAGGTATATCAATGGAAATTATTAAATCATGTTGCACGGGATCACGGAATGACATTAAAACCCGCGCATTTATCATATAAATGTACAGTTTGCACTGCCACATTTGGAATGTACAAGCAATTTGAAAATCACGTATACTCAGCACACAGTGTTGTGGCAAAAAGAGTAATGGATAAAAAGAATACCCCATCGTCTCCGTCATCGAGATCAAATGATTCTCTTTTAAAACCATTGAAGATAAACGACGAAATAACAATAATTCCACAACCAGCAAAACCAACAACTAGATCTGGTGCATCTCAAGGCAGAAGCAAATAGCAATGATCAGCAGAGTGATACGTGTGTCTTGTTTTACAGAATTTCACGTAACTCTGGATGATGATGATGATGATGATGATGATGATGATGATAATGATGATGATGATGATACTCCGTTAAAAGCGGCGGTCACTGAAAATAAATATTTGACAGTGAGATGTGCTGTGTACATGTGTATGCATATACTATGCTTAAGATTTGCAATTACTGAAACTAAAACTCCTCGACTCGACTCTTGACGAAAGGAAAAAAAGAAAGAAAAAAGGAAAAAAAAAAAATAAGAAATAAGAAAACTAGTTGACTGCGTAAAATAATATTCCATCAATGATTATACCAATATATATTTATTTAAGAATTTTTATTGTTGTTATCGGACATACATAAAAACAGACTGTAAAAACATGAAAGCGTGGCCTTCAGTCTAATTCCTTAGTTTATCCTAAAAGCTACGTATTCCCGCTTTACACAATGGACTCAATGAATGCATAAAAAAAGTATTTTGCATTCTTCGTCATGTATATCGATACCCTTTAAATAGTGAATTATTTGTAATGTATAAATTGTTTTGTAAGAGAAATATAATCGAATATGTCATTTTATTTTGTCATTGAAACTTTTCAAAGTGACGAACTATGATGATAATTATTATTATTATTACTATATTATTATTATTATTATTATTATTATGATATCTGTTTGGTCCTCTTTTTCTCTATCTTTTTCTCTCTTTCTCTTTCTCTCTCTCTCTCTCTCTCTCTCTCTCTTCTTTCTCTCTTTCTTTTTAATTTAATAATTGGAATGGTAAAAATAATGATAAAAAATATTTGTAAAACGATTTCTGAATATTATATCTCGAGTCAGGAATTGTAATAACTAACCAGAGTGCCCTCGGATATTCTAGAAACACCTTTGCTATATAATAAAAACTAATAATTATCATAAAATATATAATTATCATTGTTCTCTTGGAGTAATAATAGATGATACCGCGTATCTTTTGATTATAAGATCATTTGGGAATGATTATGATGACATTGATGGTGATGGTGATGGCGATGGTGATGACGATGGCGATGGCGATGGCGATGGCGATGGCGATGGCGATGACGATGATAAGAAGATGATAAAATTGTTATTTTTATCCATTACATAATTTATCTCTCATATTTTCATAAAATTGTGTGTATGGAATAATTTATAATATAATTGAAGAAGAAGAAGAAAAAGAAGAAGAAGATTAAATACACGTATATATATATACATACGCGCGCGCGTATAATTGTAAATTGTATCTATTATTGTATAAGTTAAAGCGCTCTTCATTCTTTATATATTGTAATCAACAAATAATCTCCAGTCTTTTTTTTTTTTTTTTTTTTTTTCTTCTCTCTAATAAGATCAACAACAAAAAATGTACATTAACATAGGCAAATAATTTAAGCAAAATATATCAATAAAATAGGATGGCACATACATTAATGTATACATTTTTTTTCTGTTAAACAATGATTACAAACAAAAATATGAATACAAAGTGGACAATTGAATTTGTTAAGCGTATAATGCAAAACATATATCTACATTTATATATGTATACGTATAATATATCTAAAGCAATATTATATATATACATATATACATATATAAAAGGAAAATAAAATAAAATATTACAAAAAAAAAAAAAAATCACAAGAAGTAATTATAACGTAGCGATAGATAGAGTGTTTGCGAGAAGAAATGATTATTCTCTCTTGTAATACGCTAACTCGATAAAAATAGGCTTATAATGGATATGTAGATAGTTGTTAAAGAAAAAGAAAAAACAAAAAACAAAAAAAGAAACAAGAGAAGTAACGGGTTTAATTTAATCATTTCAATTTAATCCTAATCATTTTTGTACGTTACAGTAGGTAATAATAATTTTAGATGATGATAAACTGTATTCAGTAAATGAAGAAGGATACCATAAGTGCGTTTTTGCACTCTAAGGCTGTATTATTTAAACTCTGCGCTGCTTGCTTGTCATTTATATGGCACAAGCTATGTTGGTCAAACTGAGAAACATTCATAGAACATAATTACAGAAATATATAGTTTACTGTAATAATTTGTACAATATTATATGATGACAAAAATAAAGTGTACCAACATTGTATTACAATCCTCTTTTCTTTTGTACTTAATCAATTAGATAAGCACTTAAGAATAACACTACTTCACTCGAAAATCAATATTATATAATAATAATTTGTTAGTAATATTATTTCATTAATATTATAATAAGAGTTATAATGTGTGTAATAACATATACCTAAATATTGTCATTGTCAAAAGATAGAGTGGAACAATTGAAATTTGAATTTGCGCGCGCAAACATTTTATAATTGAATAGAAACAAATTAACGTGAACTTTGTCAATAATTTAACACAAATGATCATCTTAAAATGTGACTATCGATTTATCGAAAGCAATTGTCTTTTTTTAGAAAGAAAAACAAGCAAACAAAAGTTTATCCATTCTTTCTTACGTATATGAAAGAAACAACGAACGTCACTTCCTGTAACACTTTATTTATAAGAACTGTGAATGAGGAAAATTTTGAAAATCAACGTTTGCCGGGTTGCACTATTAAGTAATGCTCAATATCTGCTAATGTAGGGCATTCCTCTAATCGCCAACCTAATAATATTTGTCATTGTGTTGTTGTTGTCGTCGTCTATTTTTCTAATTTCTAATTATTTTTCTACTTGAGTGTTTTGAAAAAAGAGAAACAATGACGGATTTACCATATCTTGTCGAATATGCCAAGAGTTCTCGTTCCTCATGTCAAAATTGTCGTTCTTCCATTATAAAAGATACTTTAAGATTTGCTACTGTTGTACAAGTATGTAGAATTAGAATGTCATTTCTTTTCAATGAATAAGTTAATTAATTGTTTCATTTGCAGAGTCCAATATTTGATGGGAACATAACCAAGTGGTATCATCCAAATTGCTTTTTTGCAAAACAACGTCCCAAGTCTATTGCGGATATAGCAAATTTTGATGGTATCCGTTGGGAAGATCAAGAAAGTGTTAAAAAATCTATAGGTTAAATACTTTTTATTGAATTTTACTACTCTTTACAATTGGTGACTTGGTTGTGTAACAATTGTGTAACAACATTTTGTTGGATATTTTAGAAGAAGGGAATCATCAAAATGTAGCAGCTCCTGCTAAGAAAGGTAAGAAGCGTGGTAAAGGTGCAGACGCATCTTCAGATTTTTCAATACAATACGCCAAGTCTAGCAGAGCTATGTGCAGAGGATGCGAAGAGAAAATAATGAAAGAAGAGATAAGAATTTCAAAAAAAGATTTTGAAAGCGAAGAAGCAAGAAGATACGGCGGTTTAGATAGATGGTATCATTTGGAATGTTTCGTTAAACTCAGAAAGGAACTTGAATTTTTTGATCAAGCCGATTCCCTTGCTGGAATCAAATCTTTGTCAAAAGAAGATCAGGCCAATGTCAAAAAGGAATTGCCTAAAATTAGCAATGATGATGCAGTAGTTGTAAAGAAATTGAAGGAAGAACCCGAGGATGCTGAAGAGGAAAATAAATTGAAAGAACAAAATAAACAATTATTTGCAATGAGAGATACTTTATCTTCACTTAATAAGAAAGAACTCCGAGAGATTTTAGAAACGAACAAGCAACAAGTACCTGAAGGTGTTTCTGCGGTAGGTCATTAATATTGTCTTAATTCTACATTAAGGACTATAAGGTAATAATAAAGGATAAAGTGTGTACAACAAATATTTGTCTAGATGTTGGACATGGCGTCCGACTTATTAGTCTTTGGAACTTTAAAACCATGTCCAAAATGCAGTGGGCAATTGAAATACGTTTCGGGTCTTGGTTACAAGTGCACCGGAGATTTGACAGAATGGACAAAATGTGAATACACTACTCAAGATCCTAAGAGACAGAAATGTTCCGTTCCAGATGAATTGAAGGATACTTATAAAGCTTTGTAAGTAAATTATGTAAAAGCTTATGTAAAAGCTTATATAAAAGCTTATGCATTGGTGATATGTAATTTGTATAATTGTATTAATTAATAGGGCCTTCAAACCAAAAGTTGTTAAGAGATTGATCAAAGTTACCGCTCCATCGACATCTAGCGCGGTTAAAAAAGAAGACGAAGTCGACGCTGGACCAAAAATACTAACTAAACCAAAACCATTGAAGAACATGCAATTTGTGATATTAGGTAGTACAGAAAAAAGCAAAGACACGTTGAAAAAAGAAATAGCTCTTTTAGGTGGTTCTGTGACCACGAAAATACATGAACATTTGGCAGCTGTTATTTCAAATCCAAAGGAAGTGAAAAAAATGAATAAAAAAATGGAAGAGGCTAAGGTATTGGATATACAAGTTGTTTCGGAAGATTTAGTTGAAGAAGCAAAGGATTATACAGAACTTGCAATTGCATTAATTAAAAAGAAAACTATTTCCGATTGGGGAGGTGACGTTAAAAATCGTCTGGCTACTGTTATAGAAAAATCATCATCGAGTACGTCGAAAAGTAAAAGTAAATTTGAAAAATCTTTATCCGGCAAAGTGAAATTACAAGTTAAGGGAGGTGGTACGGTAGATATGGATAGCGGATTAGAGGATTGCGCGCATGTTTATCAAGATGGAAAAAATAAATATAACGCGACGTTAGGAATAACGGATATTCAAGCTAAGAAAAACAGTTATTACAAATTACAAATTTTGAAACACGATAAACTTAGTAAATATTGGTTGTTTAGAAGTTGGGGTAGAATAGGTACTACCATAGGCGATACAAAATTGGAAAGTATGCCTTTAAATGATTGTATTGAGAGATTTTTACAACTTTACGAAGAGAAATCTGGCAATTCATGGCATAATAGGAAACATTTTGTCAAAGTACCGCACAAAATGTATCCCATTGATATAGATCAAGGAAACGACGAAGATACATCCAAATTATTAGATTCTAATATAAAAAGTCATTTGGAAAAGCCTGTCCAAGATCTGATAAGACTTATATTTAATGTAGAAAACATGAAAAAAGTAATGTTGGAGTTTGAAATAGATATGGATAAAATGCCGCTTGGTAAAATATCGAAGAAGCAAATTCAAAAAGCATATTCCGTATTAACAGAATTGCAAGAAATAGTTGCAACAAGTGTTCCCGAACGCACCACGCTTATAGATGCATCCAATAGATTTTATACCTTGATACCGCATAATTTTGGAATATCTGGACCGAAGATATTGGAAACTGTTGAAGAAATCAAAATGAAGTGTGAAATGTTAGAAGCATTGCTCGAAATGGAAGTAGCATATAGTTTGCTTCACACTGACGAAAAGACGAAAGAAGAGAAAAATCCATTAGACGTTCATTACGAACAATTGAAAACAAAGATAGAAGTATTGGATAAATCTAGCAAAGATTTTGAAGTAATTAAACAATATGTTAATAATACACACGCGGCAACTCATAGTCATTACGAATTAGAAATCGAGGATGTTTTCGTCATCAAAAGACAAGGGGAAGATCAAAGATATAAGCCATTTAAAAAATTGCCCAACAAAAAATTACTTTGGCATGGATCTAGGACAACCAATTTTGCTGGAATATTGTCTCAGGGACTTAGAATAGCGCCACCAGAAGCACCCGTCACTGGTTACATGTTTGGCAAAGGTATTTACTTTGCCGATATGGTATCAAAGTCAGCCAATTATTGTTGCACCAATACTCAAAATCCAACGGGATTGTTACTGTTATGCGAAGTTGCTTTAGGCAATATGTATGAAAGGTACGAAGCAGATTATATTGAAAAATTACCGAAAGATAAACATTCCACGATGGGAAGGGGACAAACGCAACCAGATCCAAGCATCGTTCATAAAATGGACGATAGCGTGGAAGTTCCATATGGTCCTCCCGTGCAGGTGAAACTTCACAAAAAATCGGCATTGTTGTACAACGAATACATCGTATATGACACGGCTCAAGTGAAAGCTCGTTATTTAGTCAAGATGAATTTTAAATATAAAATTTAATTACTACACATCTCCTACTATCTGATTGATATTCTAATAATAATAATAATAATAATTAGCATAACTTGTTATATATTATTAAAGCAATGCTATTTTCCTGCAGCTACCTCCGATATGACAAATAATAGTTAAGGAACGTTATATTCTATCTTACCATAATTGAACAATTGTTTCACTATTTCGTATTCGTAATTTTCTATTATTTCAATGTTGTTTGTAACATTTAATGAAAAAGTAAAGAATTGAGATAAATTTTTTCTAATAAAAATATTCATACGAAATATTAATTAGAGTCATGTTTATTTGTGTTTAATCAAATAATTTAATTAATATTCAAAATGGAAATCAAAATAAGATTGATCGAATGTATTAATACGAATATAACCATCCTCTCCTCCGGTCGACATACTCTTCCCATTGGGATGGAATGCTAAAGAGTTGATTGGACCAAAGTGACCCTTTAAACGTGCGAATTCTTCTTCAAATACAAGATGGAAGAAACGGGAATCGAATTTTCCTTGTCTAGCTGATGTAGTTGTTACGTCCATAGCATCTTGACCACCGCCTAATACTACCTGTAATTAAAATTACATTATTCGAATTATTTTAAAATGAAGAAATTGAAAAAAAAAAAAACAAGAAAAACTTACATGATCCAAAATGGGAGATATCGTAGCTGAGTTGACTGGTCTCTCTGTTTTATAAGTTTTCAATAAAACCAACGATTCACTGTCAAATAATTTAGCCATATTATCTTTCGACGCGGTCACAAACATAGTTCCATCTTTATTAAATTGCATATCATTGATTTGAGACTTGTGACCTTTAGTACTGGTCAACTTTTTCCCCATCTGTAATGTAAGAACATTAGTTGTTATTTCGAGTATAAGAAGGAAATTGGATATAAAAACGACTTACTCTGACGTCCCAAAGAGTAATTTCACCGTCTTCGTGACCTGTAATTATGGTTTCGTCCAAAGCACCCCACAATATAGCAGAAATCCTTGGTCCAGAAACGGAAATTCTAGATATTGCATGTTCTTGCGACATGCTAGTATCGACATTTCTAATATCCATTATAAACATTTCACATTGATGACCTAGAGCTTTATCGGTCGAATAAACTGCGAGATTTGACGAATAACTGAAACCACACGTTCTTACAGAGCTATTTGTTTCCAGTTGTCCAATCTCTTTCCCTAAAAAGAACAAACAAACAAAAACATACATATGGTAATAAAGATACACATAATGTGTATCTAATATACAATAAGAAGAAAGCCAATACAAACCGGTCTCACAGTCCCATACTCTTAACGTATTATCACCGCTGCCAGATAAAAATCTAGTTGTATTCCAATTAACATCTATACACCATACTGAACCATTATGTCCATTAAAAGTTCCAAGACGTTCTCCATTTAAAGAATACCACACATTTGGTTTTTTATCCTTGCTAGCAGAGAAAACTAAATCACCTTCTCTGTTATATTTTATTTTTGTAATGGCACGTTCGTGCCCATGCAACATTAAAGGTTTCTGAAAAACATAATAAAAAGGCACTTTTGATTAATAATAGTCAGTTAAACTTTATACATATACACAATAGAGATACATATGTATATACATTTAATTCTTGACAAGTTAACAAGTTGGTTAATAAGGTTATATGTAACACATTCCAATATTATGTATATGCACAGAAAAAATATATTAACAAGATATTTGCTAATTTCTTCAAATATTGAAAATAACTAACCATATTTATAGGTAGAAATTGTATTTATTAGTAAAACAATGAATAAATTTATTCCTGACGTTCGTTTCCTCTGAAGCACGTTTAACGATACTTGGACAAATAACTTGGTACTCGTCACTGGGAATAGACCATGAAGTATAAAATCATTAGTTTCCTTATTTTATTACACAATGAATAAATTTGAAAATATTTTCTCTCTATAATGTTTTTTTTTTTTTTAAGGTACAACGAGCCAATCATAACATCTTTAGATTATCCCATCGTCCAATGGCATTTAACAGAAAACAACTAAGCAAGTTTCTAGGAATTTTCTTGCTATTTTTTTAATGCATTATCGTGGCATTATCTATGCAATGAAAATATGAATAAATACATCTCTTCTAATTGTAGAAGAGAAATTCTTTTTTATTTATGTACTATTTTATTACATAATATAAATAATTATAATATAGTTATATAGATTATTGTAACATTCATTCGGTCATCAAGGTTGGCAATGAAAATTTAAAAACGGAGGATTCCCTGTATTTTTACTTATTCAAGTTAATAATCGTTCCTTATAATGCTCTATTTTAACTTATAATTATTATTTAATTGTATAAAATTAAAAATGTAAAATTGTCAAATTGTAAAAAAAAATGTCTGTTCTTTAGGTCGTCATTAGGCCTCATTATTTGTTCACAATTAAATTACAAATGAACATTATTAAATTATGTTGATAATAAATGTTTGTAAAAGACCGTCATAAGTCATTCAACAGAATGGTATTATTGATATAATTACCAGTTATATATTTTCACGTGTTTGTATATTTACATTTTTAGTACGTTTTTCTAATGAGTACATCTGTTTTATATATAGACTGATTGTGAGATAAATGTCGATGTACGATAGCAGCTTTACAAACAGCTGATGGCTGATAATTTCTATGTGATTACTATACTAATTATATCTCTAAATGGATCGCAAAATTGTGAAAAACTTCCTGGTAAAACTCATATTTCTCATATTATGAAATCTGAAATTTGAAATATGATGTGCAAACAGGTGGTATCAATGTACTCACTCTACTCTAAATGCAAATACAAATAGTTTAACAATACAAATTATCATTGAGTAAATAAAAAGTGTGGTCATAAACAATGCTTATCAATTATATAAAGGCATCGAAGGTTCATCGAAACAAAAAAGAATTCGTTCTGCACAGAATATATAATATATGAAACATGTCGTCTTCTTTGATTAACGGCAACGAAATCAAGATTTACGAGGATCAAGTCAAAGAGTATGATATTTTAAAAGAGATCATTGCTAGTCGTGATCAAGAAGATGCATTTTACATATTAGATCTCGGTGATATTATTAAAAAGCATAGAAATTGGTTGAAAAAAA